GTCTGAGGACCAGTTGTTCTCATAAATAAGCAATAAGAGCATAAAAGAGCAGTGCTGGATGAGACCAAAAACTTAACTACTTCAACATCCTGTTGGCACATTCTCTTGTAACAGTGCCCGCTTGCCCATGCTGGTTACATGGACCCACTGATTCCAGTACTGGGTAGATTTGCATTTCACACTAACCAGCTCTGGCAGTGAGCTAGTTCTTCCCCAAACAATTCAGAATATACCCAACCAACAATCGAGCCCACTGTGAGTTCTTCCCTATTCCTTCCCCCACAGTCTTCCTGTGAGTATCACAGGGGACTTTGTAGCAGGACTTGTCTTGTCTTCCCTCATCACCATGATCACAAGCCATTAGTATACTGGTAAACATGTAAACTGTTCTGAGACCAATGTGCTGAGGAAAGGTTCTATTAATTTTTTTAATTAATAAATGTCCCTTTAAAAAACTCTGAATTGCCCTTTCAAAAAACAAAAAATCCTTTTGAAATGAACCAGAATTTTGACAGCTAGCTGTCAAATCTCCATGCTTCTGTAAAAGGGGGTGGTTTGTATTTTTCCACCTTCCTAAGCACTTGGAGTCTTGAAAAAGTGTGACAAACCTGACAAGAGAGAGGTCCCCAAAATAAAGCCTTTAGGATCTTGCTGTGAAAGGTGGTGATATACTGGCCACTCCTTGTCAGAAGCAAAGATCACTCATGGCTTTGGTTTCTCTTGACGGCTCACCTTTTGATGGCTGTCAAAAGATAATAAAATAAAAAATAATGCATTTTGAAAGCAGACACCTTCCAGGACATTGCTCTGGTGAGGCTTCCCATTGCCAAGACAAGGCTGCACTCACTTAAAATAATAATTTAAAAACTCTGTCAAAAATGGGCGATGATTTATGACTGCCTTTCCCCTCTAAATGTGCAATCCTGTGCATGTTTATAGAGAGAAAAGGCCTACCACTCTCAGAGCACACTAGGAGTGGTATGCCTTTTCTCTCTATAAACATGCATAGGATTGCATCCAAAATTAGGCTTTTGAAAAAAAAAATTTGGGGTTAAAAAATGGAATCTTTGTGTGAAGGATTTTCAAAACTTGCTTTTGGTATGGTTCACAGACTCCTGAGCTGAGCTTGTGCTCAGTGGTACCCCATTCTTTAATTCTTAATGTACATCTTCCTGCAGCATTATATTGCACATAGATTTTTGTAAAAAGCAGACTAGATCCTGGATTCAGTCCCCTCTTTTTACAAGGTCCATATATACATAGGAGAAACAGGAATACATCCATTGCATATTTTTACTTCAGACATCAGAACTGCACTCACATGATTGGAATTCATAGTGTTAGAAAGAGCCCGAAGCCACAGTGGGTGTTAATTTGTTTTTTAAGTGATGAGACAGAGCAACAACATAAAGAGGAAGCAAAAAATTGAAAGGAGCAAGATCTGATTTGATGAAGGAGTGAAACTACTAAGTGGGTGAGAAAAGCACATTTAGTTCTGGCATGGGCTAAAGGCTTGGGAAGCAAAAGCTGTCCTATACCACCAAGACAAGATGTGAAGAGGAAATCAGGGCTTCAAATCCAATGTCTAGTGACCATGATCCTTGCATCTGTTGGTTCCTAGCATTTTGTGCATCTCTGTGTGATCCAGAAATAAACCACCTTGATAGAATCCATGATATCACCGAAAGCTTTGTTAGTTCGTCTGACTCTCTGTGGAGCATTTGTGACTCCCACTGCAAAATTGTAGGCAGTGGGCTAAAAATAAATATGTAAAAATACATAGATAAAATGAATAATTATGCTAAGGAATATAACAAGGGCCCTGATACACTATAATTATCTGAGAGTAATAAAGTGTGAACAGTTTTCTCTTTCCAAGGCAACCTTGCCCTAACAGTTCCAACAGTTAAAAATAGTTAGTGCTCTCTCCGGGTTCCATTCCCCAGTGTGACATGCCAGGAGGGCAGTGCATGAACATGCCACAAAATTTAGAGGGATGGCAGAAACTTTCCATAGGACAACCAACACCTGCATAATCCACAGCAACAAAGGTTACTCACTGTGTATTGGTGAGAATTTACTATCAGCTGAACACCATTATTATAAGCTCGTCTAGGTGCAAGGGGAATGCGACAAACTAAGTTGCTTTTCAGAGGGCATGTACATTTCTGACAAAAATGACAATGCTTTTAGCTGGGAGCCTGGCTCAATTTGCAGGATTTATTTCTGGATGCTGAAGCTAGGGGATGGGGCACCGGGGGGGGGGGGGGCAAACTCCAAAGTCAGCACACTGTATAGCAGTGGCTTGCTGTGCAAACTCCTTTTCTGTTAAATGCTCCACATGCTACATAGCGAGTAGGGTAGAGAATAACAGCAAGTATTTTTCTTCAAAGGTAGCATTCCTCTTCCTCTGTAATGTACCTTATCTCATGGGTTCATGTGTAAAGGACCTCAGGCTGTGTTATTAAGCACAAATCTCACACTCTGTTTAGAAGTGATATGACCTGAATCCTCCCTGCTCTGCCTCTGAAGTCTGCATTGGAAGTCTGATGCTGCAATAGGGAATCTATTTAGTATTTTGTTCATTTTAAATAATTATACCCACCTTTCCTCAAAAAAAAAACCTAAGTTGGATAAAAGCCTGAACTGAAATCATAAGGTAATGATCAGTTCCAAAAATGTTAAGGGATAGAGCCAGAGCTCCGGCCTAAGAAGGGGGAAATCAGAGTGCGGAAATTCACACACACTCTGCCAGCATCACAAAAAACTGTTCTGGCTGCTCTCCCAGGTGAGGAACTTGACCTCAGGGAAAGAGGTAAAAGGAAATTCAGTGGGCAAGGAGGAGAGGCAGGATATGAGTCGCCTGAGACTTCTTCAGCCTCCTTCTCTCCTGGTCCAACAGACCTCCAGTAAGATGGGCAAAAAGGGCTGTTTAGCAAAAAAACAAAAAAGAAAAAAACGCAGGGTGCAAGGACAGAGAAGCAGATTGCCTCTGCCTCTCCTCCCACCATGGATAGGATGCACATCAGCTCCTGAATTTGGGGGCTTACAATCATCAAGGGTGCAATCCTATCTATGTATAGCCAGAAAAAAGGTCCTATGCACCCATCATGTCCCGGTCAGCTAAATGAAACATAGGTCAGTGTTTTTTCCAGTTATCACCAAACTGTTGATCATTTTGCGGAGATAAGCATATATCCCAGCTGCCATACAGGTGAGCTCATACTGATCCCAGTTCAAGCCATTCCTCTCTCAGTTAAATGATTCCATCCATCTTTGTCTAGCTTCCCTGAAACACTGCAGAACTTATGGAATCAACATCACCATTCATTCAGGCAGGGACAAGGTGCAGCATGATAGGTTTCTAGGCATTTGTGAGCAGTTTTGGCCCAAGGAAGGAGCATTCCCTCAGCCAAACAAAGACATTCTGCACATGTTTATGTGCTCTTAGATCCTTTAAAAATATATCCTTCTGAGAAAAGGTGATCTACTCTACACATACTCAAACAACATTTTTGAGAATTAGGGAACCCTATCAGTAAATAATTTCATTCATTTGTTCTTGTGGTAAAAACCAAGATGGAAAATAGCTGCAAAGGCAAAAACAGCTCTACAAGAACCTTTTGGCACCACACTGACCACCTCTGAGAAACTGTCCATCTTGTCTATAACAGACAAAAGGATTTAGAAATGCCCACTTTTCTGTTACTAAGAACAGTGCACTCCATCCTTCCCACTTCCCTTATAGATAGCTGAGATCTCGATAGAAGGGTGCCACTTTCCTAAAATTGAAATTATAAACCCACACATGTTGATTTTTAATTATTTGACGTTTATCCTGCCCTATCAGCCATAAGGCTCCTTGGGAAGTTTACACTTTAACCCATAGGGCTAAAGATTCAGAAGTAGGACCCCATTAAATTCAACAGAATTTACCCAAGTAAGTGAATAGGGCTGCAGCCTTCGTTAAGAAATGTGAAGTTCAGATTTTTGGGAACGGTAATCACTGGGACTTACATTTACTACTGCTCGAAACAAGAATTCTCTCTGCCCACCACCATTTTTAAAGATGAAGAGAGCAATGTTGCGTAATTTCCTTCTGGTAACATCAACTTTATAAGCGTCAAAAGAACGAATGCAAATTTTTTATTCATTAAGTTCGGGGAAAAGAGTTCGTGAGAAAACCTGTGATCCCTAAATGTCAAGATAAAAAAAGGAAGGCTTACACTGAACATCACTGAGAATTTCTTGCATCTTGGGTCTTCGACGTAATACTGCGAGTGCACGTTTAGGTCGGTAGAAGGAGCTCGTCTTAATTCCCCTCCCTCTCTCCCTCGCTCCGTCTCTCAACATGAAGCCGCACAAGAATTCCACGAGCAACTTGTTTCCGGTTCCGATAACTATTTGCAGAGCCTTCCATGTGCGGGGCAAGAGTGATGCATAATACGAACGTTCTAATCCAGCTGTAATATTTTCATTCTGCTTTGGTAAAAGACGGGGATGGAGCTAGTGTCTTTTTACTTTGAAATAAATAGCTGGGATCATATCCATTCCATGCGTCATGCTGGGAATTCTAAATTTTTCTCTCTATAAACTTGAATAGGGGTGCATTTCCCCCCGAGAGTTCTGTTGCTGGAGGAAGCTTTGCAGAGGATGGAATTGGGGGTTGGTTTTTATTATTTAGGAAGCTGAGCTGTGAGTCCATGAAAAGAGATGAAAAAAGCAAGAACTTAAGAGCACCATTCAGTTGTATTTATCAGTAAGCCTTTGCTAGGGAAATTCGGTGGTCTTGCCACTTCATAATCGAATAACTTCTTAGGGCTTCCGCCTCATTTGTCCCTCACATGGAAAGTTCGGCTGCAACCGAGAACCAGAATTATAGCTTCATTTTATGGCGGCCACAGCTCTAGAGCAGGGGAGTCCCCGCGCTGGCTAGTCTCTCTGTCATTTCTAATGGAAACCGCGTTAGCAATTACCGTGGTTTAGCCATAGAAATGGGAAACCGCTTTCAAGTCATTGGATTGCTCTTAGTTTCTCTTCTGTAACCCTCGTGAGGCGGAGTGAACTCCGCCCCTTTCAGAACCCAGGCACCGCCGTCCTTCCGTGGAGCTGCTCTAGCCGGGTTTGCCCAGCTCTATCTCCCTCCTCCCATGACCATCGAAGGCGGCCGCTCTGTCCCAGTCGTGTAATGGGCTCTGTGCTCACTGTTGGGCTGTTATGAATATTCCAGAGAGGATATGAATATTCATCAACACTTTGTGTGAGGCGGGACCAGAGCAAAGCCCTGGAGGCGGATGCGATTCCCGTGGACCTTGCTCTGCTGCGTGCGATTCCGGCTCGGGAGTTTGGCGAGCCTCGGTTTGCGGTCTCTGCTAATTCATGGCTCCCGGGACAGCGGCGCCAGGGAGCGACCGGTGAGCAATTTGGGTTGACCACAGTGGATGGGGTGGGAGCGCGCGGGGAACGAGGCAAAGAGCGGCGGTGTTAGAGGACGGCTCGCTCGGCGTGGAGCCCTGAAGCACTCATTAGGAACCTTGAGTCTGGCCCTCCGCTTGCTGCCCGTGGGCCCTTGCTGCAGAAGAGGCACAGGGGCCCTGGGGATCTCTCTTGCATCCCCTTCCCTGGATTAGCTGCCTTGCTGCCCCCTCCTGGTGCTCTTTTTGCCTGAGAATTTTTCCTGAAAACAGATGCTCTTCCCACTCTCCAGCAACCCCATTACAAATATGGGTCTGCTTGGAAGACGGGGTTTTTGAAGATGCACAAAGCATTTAAAGACTATGTGAATTTGCATATGCTAATATGTGCCTTCTTTTGTTGTTCCTGTGAGCCAGAGCCCCGAATCTTTACCTGGCATTACCTGTACTTTACACTATTGCTGGGGCAAAAAGACGTGAGAGCTGCTCCTGGTGGCTCAGAGGGAGAAAACGAATTGGTGGAGGTCATAAGGAAGACCAACACAATGTAGAACAATTATTATGGTAGAAGTTTTCCAGAACCACAGTTTTATTTATGTATTTATTTTATTTCTGCCCCGCCTTTCTGCTAAAGAATGGTGATCAATGTGACTGACAATTAAAATATAGAATTAAACTTAATTAAAACAGAATATAAAACAAAATTAAAATTTTTTTAATTTCTCATATACTGCCTGCTTTCCTTCCAGGGGGCTCAAGGAAGCTTACATAATTCTCTTTCTCCTCCTCTCAGTATTATCCTCATAACAACACTGTGGGGTATGTTGGGCTGAAAGTTTGTGCCTGGCTCAAAGTTACCCACTGAGCTCTATGACTAGAAACCTGAGTCTCAGTCCCACACCCTTAAGCACTTGACCACACTGGCTCTAAATAAATAAAAATAATAAACAACCAATTTTGTTGCTTATTCTTTGCCAAGTTGCATATCTGTCAAAAAGCCATTACTGGCAGCATTCAACAATTTAAAATTAAAGTCTTACAACAAGAACATTAAAAATGGAAGAAAAAAATTAAGGGTGCAAGCAAGGATATGTTTAGGTACTTAGTTTGTGCATGCTGGGAGATTTAAGTCTCTTTTCTTTTTCTTCCCAAACTTGCATAGGAATGTGACTTAAAACATTAGCTTAAAGTGAGTAGGGCCCAACTATAGCTCTTGGGAAAACCTTTTCTACAGTTTGGGGTCAACACATGGCAGATAAATGCACCTCTGTGGGTCATAGTGCCATCACATAGGACTGTCCTGCAGATGTTAGAACTCTGGCAGATTCATAGAAAGATTGGTAGACCCTTAGATACCCAGAGCACATGTCAGCTGCATTAAGAACATAAAAAATCACACTGGATCAGACCAAGGGTCCATCTAGTCTGGGACCCTGTACACACATGGCAAACCAGCTACCCACGTAAGGCCACCTTCTGCAGAAGCAAATAGTAACCCTTTGCGTCTCTGAAGCAAATAGCAACCCTTCCTGCAGGCTTCTCCAGATGGGTGCCCTCAAATGTGTTGGGACTGTGGCTGCCATAATTCTTAGAACATGCTACATAATTCCTATGGGCCATGCTGCGTGGGAATTATGAGAGCTGCAGTCTAACGCCAGGCACCATGTCAGACAAGTCTTTCTAACTGCTTTTATTAATGTAATGTCTTAAAAGGAAGAGCTCTTATTCTCGGTACCAAGTTTCCTATTCAATTTTGAATAGCTGACAGGGTGTACTTAACATTCTATGTAAAAATTACTTCATAGCTACTATTATGTCTCAGAAATTAGGGTTTGTACTCTTAATTATATCATTGTTATTAAATATACCTGTCAGGTCAGAACACTAAAAAAAAAGGCTCATGTATATATGGGTAATTAAATTAGATTAATTTTTAAAATTATATCTTCAAGAAGGTACCTTCTTATTCAAAATGTCCTGACTAAATCAAAGTTTATTCATTTTTCTATATATTTTTAATATGTGATATCAAGGTTTTGATGTGCATATTTTATGCAACATGCTTTCCTCATTCATTGATAGGCAAAAGCTTTCTATACTTTTGAGCTGGAATTATACAGTTTCATACCTGTTTGTGAGCATTTTATCTTTGAATACCATCCAGTTCATCTTCATTCATTTTTAATACCAATTAAACTTATTGTGGCAAAATAAAGCAGAATTCATAGTGAACCTTTACTTTCACTTTCATTTTCAAATTCTTGCTTGTCATTAAAATTTAGCATTTCTCTGTCATAATAAGGAATCTTATTTTAAGAGAAGTGGGCTAGTAATTTTGCAGTAGCTTTATCAGCAAGTCTTCTAAAATAAAATCAGTTATTTTCTAAACATTCAGGACACAGTTTCAGAGGCAGGGCTTGCTTGAATAGTCCTGCAACATTCCTCCTGCATTTTCCAGCTGGGAGTTGGGGTTGCAGGTCTTATTTGACCCCTTTCCCCTGATCCACAGCTTGGCCTATTAGCTGCCACCACCCTGCAGTGTTACAATGAAAATAATCTGCTGTAAATCTTTGAGAAAAGCTGTAGCAGCATCCAGGGAGGAATTAAGAGCACATCACTGGGATAGAGGATAAATGCCTTAAGGGTGCATACTCTACCTTAGATCACATTAAATCAGGGGTCCTCAAACTTTTTCACCAGAGGGCCAGTTGAAAGGTGCCAGAGCTGGCCGCGGGCCGGAAAGGTGGTGCCAGCAGTGTGGGCGGCGTGCTGGGGCAGGATGCATGGCGAGGAGAGGTAAGGTAAGGTGCAGGTGGGTGCGCGGCGAGGCGAGGCAGCGGTGGGCACGCACTGCAAGGCGGGCACATGGTAGCGGCTTGCTCGCTTGCAGATCATTTTCGAGCAAGCGAACTGCTGCCTCCCCACACGTGGCCGTAGTTTGAGGACCCATGCATTAAATAGATTATTTATCCCTCAAGCATGTTCTAGCCGTGTGGTTAAAGAACAGCAGAGAATGGATTATTTCCTGTCTTATTTCAGGATTGGAAGTAATTTAACAGACTCAGTATATGTGGCAAATCTGATAGGGATGTTTTCCTGGATGCTGTTGGTGCAAGTTTCTTAAAGAAGTAAGAAACAAGTGAAGAAAAGGAGCTGTAGCAAAAAAGATTGAGTTGAAGTTTAGTTTATGGAAGTTTTAATACTCACCCCAGCAAATTAGCTGAAAGATCAAGCTATCCAAATTGCATGGATGGATAAATAAATAAATAAATAAATTCTGGTAGATTTTTTTTTAAACTATTCTACTGGTATATGTGGGACTTTCTTTGCCACTGTGCAGAATGCTGGTTTTTCCATATTCCCCATCTACAGTGCAGGAGCCTGATGGAAGGAAGGGCAGGGATACAAATATCTCTGTAAAAATGCCTTCTAGTACTTCCTTGTCACACTGCAATGGGGTGCTGCCTTGGCATGCTAGCACAATCATACACAACAAAGGAGTAAGAGTAAAAAAAAGGGGGGGATTTTGCAAAATAAAGGTTCCCTGCATCTCACAGTTGCAGAGAGCCCATTCAAACTTTTCACATCATTTATATAGCTTTCCACACAAAGGATGTCAGAAGCTTTGGTTGGCTATAATTTGCCCACAGTACAAGTATTCTTAATACACCTGCTCGCAACTATTTCTACCAATTAACATTTGCTGATGCTCCAGCCTTTACCAGTTAAAACTATGCTTGTTACTTGTAGTTTCTCATTACCTGAGTCTCCCTTATCACTTCATATATGTCCTGTGTGCCTGAAGGTTATGGCTGTTTCTGCCCATCCAGAGATCATCCTGTGTCCCCTTCATGGACTCTGGAGCATGGACTCAAGACAACAAAGTTTTGCTTCCATTTTCTGTAGCCCTTTGGTCTATTGATGCTACCTCTGGTCTTCAGGGGAAATTTCTTACCAAACGTGAAGAAGATTCTTCATACTTATCAGAATGATCCCCCCCCCCCCCCGCACTCCACCGCTAAACATTTCCATTCCTGCTCTACAGGGAGTATTCCAGAATTTAATTTGTCTTTCATGGTAGTAATCTGATTTGCAAATAGCTGGTTGTTTGTGTGGCAATGTTTGCTTGATTATATCACTGCTGTCCTTGTATGGATCTCTTGCAGGCCCCGGCCCCAGCTAGACTGGCAGTTCCTCTGGCGTTTTCTAAAGATTCAGGCAATTTTATTTCCTTCTTGCTGCTCCAAGAATGTGCTGATGTTCCTAACCTTGCTTGTAGTTGCACTGCTGGGTAAGTGGGAAGACAGCTAAGAAGGTACTGAGAGCTTCCTTCTGCCATGCACTGTGAACTCTTATATCAGCACATTTTTAATATTAATTCTCCTCCCCACCATCCTATTTACCTCCCATAGAGCAGCTGATCATCTTCCAGGTGGGACTGATTCCCAGCCAGTATTATGGAGTTCTGGCCAACAAAGACATTTATGGATTCCAGAAAGTGACAGCAGTTGCTCTGGTTCTCATTGTCCTGAACTCTGTGGTAAGAGAAATATCTTTTTAAAACAGCATGGCCTCTTTTTGTAGTTGTTGTGTGAAAGGAGGCTAGAGCACTTGATATCTTTCATACAGGTTTGCCCTAAACATACTTGAATATGTTTATCCTGAGGGTCAAACTCCATGGTACATTAATTAATTTTTAAAATTTGCTTCATGCTGCCACTTTTATTCTGAAGAAGTAGTTAGCGGAGTCCCAGTCAGACACTCCTCAGTCTGGATCAGGCCCACCCAAACTTACTCTTTGTATTTCCTGTAAGCAATTTTTTAAAAAGTGTGATTTAATATAACATATAGTTTGACCATTATTCTCAAAAGTAAACAGACAGGTTCCTCTGTATTTGAACAGAGATCTGTAGACTTAGCAACATAATATGTATACCTTCTTACTGGGCTAAATAATTTTTGGTCTTTGCCCCCTTAGAATCTGCTTGTGTTGATGATGAGAGAAATATATGCATATGCCTTTCATTCTCACACAGCTTGTATCCCCATGATGGTTTACAAAAGTAGGAAACCATTTTCTTAATTTATTTTGAACTACATGCTTCTAAATTATTCTTAGTGCTACCTGTATGAAAAAACACCAAGCTGCAAATATACATACTTATATGAATTTACTAGAAAACATTACATAAGGCAGGCAAGTGCTATCTAAAGCAATGGTAGGAAACATTTCTAGGCCAGAAGTATCAGAAGTGGGCAAATAGCACCCCAAACACTATGCCTATGCATGTCTATTCAGAAGCAAACACGATCATGTCTACTCAGAAGTAAGCCATCCAAGCCTCTGCAAGAAGCAGAACTCCCCTGTCTCTGCCTTGCAGGGGGGAGCGATGTGACCAGAGATAAATGTTTTCTCCAGCAGAGAAAACATTTATCTCTGAGAAAGAGCCTTTTTCTGAGAAAAAGAGAGAAAGAGAGCCTTTTTCAACCCTAAAGGAAAAAGATTATCCCCATTCCCCTGCTGTTTGGTGATAATAGCTTTTCCCTCCAGGCAAGAGGGGGTAAGGCCAAAAGAAGAACTTGCCAGGCTCAATGGGGAATACCTGAGGGTCCAAGGTTCTCCATCTCTGCTTTATGCAATTGTATACATTCATATACATACATATATACGAATGTATACATGTCATAGAAATAGATACAGATGCAGATATAGATTAATATATTGGAAATAGATACAGATGCAGATATAGATTAATATATTGATAGGTGAAGGGTCATTTTTTTCCTTTCAGTAAAAGCTATTTCTGTGGCTAATTCTTCCAAGTTAAATAATTAATTTTAGGGGAATGGACTTCTTGTATGAGCGGTAAGAGGGAATGCATATAATACTGCAAATCAGTTGACTTGAGCAGAGCTCCTGCTCAGAATTAGGAAATCCTTGCTAATGGAAGTTGATCTCTGGTAGTTCAGCCTGCCATACGTTTTATGATTCACAGTATAGGCAGCTGTACAAACTATTACATGCCATAACAGTGGCTGAAGGTATTGTATCATTCAGTCACATTTAGTCAGCCTTAATATGTTAAGACCCTGGTGGCCAACCTGCAGCATGTCTGCAACAAGTGGCACAGGGAATGGTAGCTGTGACATGCTTGAGCAGAAGTTGGAGGGTCCTCAGAGTGAGCTATAGATTTGAGAAGACCTAAATTGCTGCTAAGTATCTCCAGGGCTATGCTGTTACCTGCTCGGCTATCTAGAGGTGAAACTATGCTCAGTTACCTTGAGGTGGAGGTGCTTTTGCACTGAACCTGTACTTAGTGCACATCACAATGGTGTTGCATGAAACTGTGAACTTGTTGTGATGGGTTTGTCACCACTGCATTAAGTAAGTAGTGAAGTGCCCTGTGTTAGAATTCCGCTGCAGATGACTCCTTGGGGATTGCTGAGAGCGGAGTCCACTGCTTTCTGCCAGAAGGAGAGCCTGGGACTCCTCCAGCCATTTGACCAGAGGAATTTCCTTAGCTGAGTATTTCTGTCTCACTGTCATTCTCCCTTTCCCCATTTTTGAGTTTCACTTCTCTCTCTTCTCTTTCTCAGCTTAAGAGTTTCGACCAGTTCATCTGTAAGCTCATGTATGTGAGCTGGAGAAAGACTCTCACTGAATACCTCCATGGTTACTACTTTCAGGGTCAGGTGTATTATATCTTGAATGTGCTGCATCAGGAAATTGATAATCCGTAAGTTTGTCTGTAGCCTACAGGCTTCTGCTGTACAGACGTAGCTAGTCCTCCTTTTTTCTCTCCTCTAGATGTCCATAGACACGTCCTGATTAAGGATTAGTGGTTAAAGAGATCATTTAATTTGCTTTTGTTTTTTATCATGTGCTGTCTGTCCTGTCCTCCACACACTATATTTGAAGTAAGCTAAACTGTAAAAACTAAAATACAAAAAAAAATCAATAATTATTTTGTCCATATGGAATTTCTATTGGGGGAAATATATAAAGAGATGGATAGAGCAATAAGATGTCAAAAAGTTCAAATATGTTAAAAGCCAGTACAGTTTTTGCTTTAGAGGATTTAGAGGGGGGTTTTTTTGTTAAAATATACTCCCAACTAAAATGCTACCTGATATACAGAGGGGTGCAAAAGTAGGTATACAGTTTTTATTATGTAAAAACAATAGCTTTATTAAGGATGACATACATTGCAATTAAGTACCATCTCTTAAGTGCTCAAATTGCTGGCCTTCAGCATTTACACATTTCTGTAGTCTGGTTTCTACACTCAAGCACACTTTGGCGCAGGGTGAGGAACTCTGTATAACTCTTATAACTGTATACCTACTTTTGCACCCTCCTGTATATGGAATCATTTCCTGGGCACCAGTGCAATTCTGTAAGCTGCTATTCAGTAGTAAGTTCCTCTGAATTCAGGGTAAAATGATACAGGATTACAGCTTAACACTTGCTTTATATGCAGGGTTTTCACCAGAGTAATTGGAGGAATAGCCAGGAACAGCTAAAGATGCAGTTTCATAGACTACACTTCTTAATTTTTAAGGACTTTAAAAGGAAGGAAGCTCTGAAAGAGGAGTCTGTCTTTCTTCCTATATATAAACCTGTAGTCTCACATCTGGAGGCTAAGAGATATTAATACTTACATGGTGGCAACCCTTTCAAGTTTGTTGGTACAGGCATACTGGTTTGTTGTACATTTCCAGTAGACGTAAGGTAAAATTTTGATTGATTTATTTATTTTATAATGTTTTACAATTATCTTTTTATATATCTTGTTATAATTCTGTGGTAATTCACAGAGCCCTGTTATCTGGGCAGCTCACCGTATATTAAATAAAATACGGTGCATACAAAGTAGAAAATGACTTGACCATTGTACTTTACAACTGGACTCCTTACACCAGCTATCTCAAACCTGGTGCCTTCTAGATGTTTTGGATTCCAATTCCCATCAGCCTTAGCAAGCATGACAGTGCTTAGGAATGCTGTGAGTTGTAGGCCAAAATATGTGGAAGTCACTGTGTTGGGGAAGCCTATCCTATGCTGTATAGAAGCTGGTTTCCTCCTTCTAAATCCTTGTCCGTACAGCAGAGATAACTATGCACATTTTGTGTTGGAGGGTGGGCTCTGTCATATCAGAGCAAGAAGAAAATAGAGTTTCCCAGTAAGCACCAGTAGCCAAGTTGGTATCTGACTGGAAATACACTGTTGCTCAGCAGTTGTGTGCAAGCTATACATTAGAAAAAGAAAGCAGCCATTAGCCCTAAAATTAGATCATTGTTCCATTCCATGAATAAACTGTTGTTCCAAATATATTCAATTTTCTGTATTGCCGTTAGCATCATTGTGGCATATACCAATTTCAGCTCTCTCTTTACTGAGCAGAGACCAGCGAATCAGTCAGGATGTGGAGAGGTTCTGCAGAGAGCTGAGCTCCATGGCCAGTAAGCTGATCATCTCACCCTTCACCCTTGTTTATTACACCTATCAGTGCTTTTACAGGTAAGAGCAGTCTCAGTCTAGGGCAGGGTTGGCAACCCGCGGCTCTGGAGCCGCACGTGGCTCTTGAACCCCTCTGCTGCTGCTCCGTCACTCAAAACACGCACTGGCACAGCCGCTGATCTGCTCGAAGCTCCACTCAGGAACGCAGCCCCTAGCTAGTTAAATAAATCAGCTAGTTAAGTAAATCTCTACATTCCTCTGCTAAACAAACTTCCTGCAGGCTCTCATGTTACAGAAAACTGCTGAAAAGAAAAGAAACCATATAATGATAAGTGGGTAGATTCATTTGCTTTTACTGCTGACGAACTTATGGGGTTTGCTGTTTAATGCATGCAGCCCTTTAGCACTGACTTTGACTCTTCAGGAAGCTGTTCTCCTATTCAAAATATATGAAAGGAGTCCTACTAGTTTATAATGTAAGATTAAAAATAACAGTTTTTAGTGACTGAACAAGAGCCGCAGCTAAATCATAATGAAGATATGCATAGCATTAAAGTAAAAAACGATATATGCAGTGTTATCTTCATTTTAGATGTCCAAAGGATTTTGCGGCTCCTGGTGTTTTCTTTTGTGTGGGAAATGGGTCCAAATGGCTCTTTGAATGTTAAAGGTTGCCGACCCCTGGTCTAGGGGAAGAGATCCCCAGGGCTGAGCCAGGCCACCAAGAACACCTGTCTGTCTGCACACAGTGCTGTGAATTGAAGGAACGGGGAAGATGGTTAGGGAGATAGACAGTTGAATGAGCTGGAGAGGGGGAGGCAATATGGGGCATGTGTTAGAGTGAAAAGCGATATAGATCTAGGGAAGGAGAACTCAAGATCAGAGCAATGGAACTTCTGGATGTGAGAGAGCAAGACAATAGGGGAAATGATGTGGAAACAACAGGGTATAACGTCACAGTGTATTATGGTCAGTGACTAGATTGCCCTTTTAAAAAAAACAATGTACAAAGTATGACCATAAGTTAAGATATTCCAACTATTAAGAGGCAAAATAATAGTAGACAAATGATATCAAATTGATTAAAATTGCCTGTTGCAATATCTAATTAAAATTTTGAAACATTTCCTACAATATCTTTGTGGATCTTACAGGCAGCTGCGAAAAACCTAGCACAACAAACTGTGAACTGGGCATTGATGCCTATAAGAAGTTTCCTGGCCACCTTCTAAAGAGATGGGAAATAAACTTGGTCCATATTTTTAGATAAAATGGGCAATAAAAAATAACATGTTCAATTGTTTCAAGTTTTCCGGCACCACAAGCAAACCCTCTCCGCCATTTGGAGGGGGGGGTTCATATAAATAACGGGGCTGTTGTGTTTGTGTATCCCCTCTGATTTTCCATATCATCAAACCTACTTGTTTTGTAATGCCCAGCCCTCAGACATAAATTGTATTCATTGGGTACTGAGGTGAGGTCATGGGAGGAGGAGGAGGAAAGCTCATGAGGGTACATGGCATGCTTTAGTTCCAGCAACTTAAAATGTTTTCTGAATGTCATTGTATCTTTGGGAATAGCATATGTAAGTGCATGGCTAGATAGCAAAATTGGAAGGGAATGGGGAGGGGCAGGACAATGAGCTAATATTTCCAGGTGGAAGAATCTCTCCTACTTCAATTTAGATCTGCTTTCCACTTCTGGAGGGTGCCAGTTTGGGGGAACATGGATTTGGATCAAAAGGTCACTCTTTGTTCAGAAAAGCACAAATGTTGTTTGATAGAAGAAAACCTCAGCAAGGTTTACTCTGCAGTAATGATTTCTCTTTTGTGGAATTTGGGGCAGTTAATAGGCTTCTTGAAACAATATTGCAGCCATCAAACCTCAACTGGACTAGGGCATAGTGAATTGCTTTTCCTCCAATTTAAAATGGATCTACTTACTATGACACACACTGACACAAAATGTCTGAATAAACTTATAGCAAAGCATGATATGTCTGTGCCATCTGAACTGTAGCATAGATTAGCTTCTGACAGATTGATATGTAGTCTTACATAGCCACATTTGTAAACCTCTCTCAATTTCTTCCTTTTAGTACTGGCTGGCTGGGCCCACTGAGTATCTTTGGATATTTTATCATTGGGACCATTGTCAACAAAATCCTAATGAGCCCCATTGTTTCAAAACTGGTGCACCAAGAGAAGCTGGAAGGTGATTTCAGGTGAATGTATTCAACAGGTTTTGTAATTGATTTGACTGTAGCCCAAAATTGTATGGCAGCCACAGTCCTCTGTGGCTACCATACTATGGTGCCCAAATATTGGTTGTGATTTATGTTGAGTAAATCCTTGATATAAACCATGTTGGGAGATAGGCAAGAGCCTGGATGCCTTTATGGATGGAAGAGGCAATTCCAGACCCAATCAGACTGCTGATCAGCATGCTTACCCCATGTCCCTGCCTGCTTCACCTTTTGACTTCTGATGCTGCTTTGTGTCTGTTCTCCTGCCTATGTCTGAATGAACAATTATGCTATGGCAGAAATACAAATGGATTTTGGAAAGATGCTGATCATCTGATCCAGGCGTGGGCAACTTGTAGCCCTTCTAATGTTGCAGGATGACAATTTCCAACATCATTGGCTATACTGATTAGAATGATAGGACTTGAAACCCCAATATCATCTGGTAGGCCCCAAATTGTCCACCTCTGGCTAGTCCAAGGAATGATCACACTGAAGTGAATTATTTTCTTTGCTTTCCACAGGTTTAAGCATATGCAGCTACGGGTGAATGCTGAATCTGCTGCTTTCTACAGGTAAGACTATGCTTCTCTTCTTAATAGCTCATCTTGTAACACCTTTTGGGTCTTGGAAGCAAAGGAAGAAGTATGTACAGGTGCCTGCTTCTATCTTCACTTGCCTGCAGCTCTTTCCTAGGCATTCAAGCTCTCTTCTGTTTCTACTGCCCAGGGCTTCCTAATACCTGATACTCCTGTATCACAGGACAAGGATAACTCCTGTGGTAGGCTATGTTACTTTCTTAAAGAAAAAGCAAAACAAAAGCTGTATATGTCGTACGTAACGTACCAACCCAGTGCCCATCAATGCTGCCCAAGCATGATGTGAGTTGTCCAGCACATTTGGAAGGCACTTTGCTGAGGAAGGCCGTTTTATGGTCTCAACAAATTAAGTTGAGTAGGCATCCAGCACAAAAGTTGCAAAGGGCCATGCATGTCAGAACACGCACCTGTTCTTTCCCTTCCTGCTGTATTCAGGAGCATGTATCATTGCCCTGTGCTCTAAAAAGTATTCAAAGGCCAAATATGCTATTATGAAAGACTTTAAGAAATCCATTCTCCTTCCATTTTAATGTTAGCTCCACTTTCTTCCACCAGGCCTGTGTTAATGAAAATAATCACTTTCCCCTCATTCCTCCTTCATTCATTTCAGTTCATTCCTCTAATTTAATCCCCTCAGAACAAATAGCCTTATCTATGTCAGCCTTAAAACTCCTTGTGAGGTCTTTCCCGTTCTGGTGATGCTCCGGGTGCGAAAATATGTTGCTGTTCTCCCACCATCACTTTAGTCTCACAGTAGTTCCAGTCAGCAACCAGGTCCACAAATGTTATCTTTGGAAACCAATCATTTATGTTGGCTGTGATCTTGCCCTTTTCTCACCTTAGTGGTGGCGAGGGGGCACCATCTCTAGCATTATTTTGGGCTTAGAAGGCATTCAGAGTGCCTCTTACGTTTGGTCCAGGATCTGAAATGATGCTGCTATGGTTGCATTGCCTTGTGGAAGCTTTGCAAGTGCCACTTCAAGCTCAGGAGTCCAGCTGTGTCAATGCAGGGATGATCCCCTAGCCCTGTTCCCCAGCCCCTGGACTAAAAGAATCATGGACCCTCATGGCCAGCAAATGTTTGGATCCCTCATGCTTTCAATTAGTCTGCTGTGTTGCTTAGGCCGGCGATGATGACTCAACTGCTATAAAGCAGTTGTAGGGGTGCTGGCATTTGATTCCAGAGTTGTTAGGAATACACAGTTAGACTATGTCTGCAAAAGGCTGTATCTAAGATAACTGAAGTAGCTCATATAAGCAGCACTTCTTCCCATTTCCTGTTTCCAGTTAGGTGCTGTGTTTGTGTCAGTCACTTTTTTAAACTAATATAAACGTCATTCTGTATTAATTACTTTGTTTGGGTAGACATCCTGTTATCTGGCCATTTGTTTTACCACATTTCATTTGATATCTATCCTATTCGCTGTTAAAAATAAATCTGAATATGCAGAGATTCACGCATCCCCAATAAACACTTTTAAAATCCCCCCTCCCCTTACATTACAGAGTCCCAGCTACTCCTGAATCCTCGAGACATCTGGTCATCTACCTCCACTGGTCCTCATAGAGTCTTTTGTTGCACTCCAGCAGCGTGCATGGAAGAGAGCTTAAGAGCATCCATGCTGAATCAAAGTCCAAATCTAATCCTATCTAATCCACCCCTCTGTTCGCACAATGGCTGACCAGCTGCCCATGGGAAGCCCACAAGTGGGGAGTGTGTGCTATTTTGTTCATACTACCTGGTACACAGAGGCAACCTGCCTCTTGTCCTGGAGATAATATAGGAGCACCCTGACTAGTAGCCTTTGATAGCCTTATCCCTCTAGAAGCTGGCCAGATAACCGTCTTTGTGTGTACAGATCCAGCATTGCTATTATTCTTTTTTAGTTACTCAATTAATAGAGCAAACTGCAATACTGAAATCAGAAAGTGCTCGTGCTCAGGAAATACGTGACTAGCACTGCAGAGACATAATGATGAGAGAGGGAAAGAACAGCTTCAGACTAAACTAGAATAAACATTCACATCACATCTGTTCTTCTGTTTCTTACCACACGAGGTCGCTGGTAGCAATGGAGCCTCATTGGAAACTAGTGCAATCATTTTGAGTTCATCACATTCCCTTAGTTTAGAGCAAGGGTCTCAAACTCGCGGCCCACGGGCCAATTGCCGGGATGGGCGGGGCACGGGGGAGGGGCCCGGCGGCCTCCAAAGCACTGGCGGCACCCGGGCCGGCCGTGGGATGAGCGGCCCACCACCACCACCGCGGTGGTGGAATACTTGATGCGGCCCAGCCTCACCCAGACTCTACTTCCAGCGGCCCCAGGTAAGTTGAGTTTGAGACCCCTGGTTTAGAGGTATCTTGAAGCAAAGGTGGAAAGGAGGCTCTTTTTTCACCATGTCCCTGTAACCTGCAAGTGGGGTGGGGATATTCCAGGAACGAGCTGAGTGCCTGTCCCCTCTTACTATGTTGAATAACAAAGTGTTGGATAGGTCCGGGAGCCTGCCTCACACTCAAACACACTTCAGTTCTCATTGAACTGAGCACATGGCCAACCTTTTACATCTAAATCCAAATTGAACTGTGCTGAAGCTGTTTCACAATTTCCAGGCACAGTTCAGAATTACTTTTGTTGTGACACGAAGCATCTTTAATAGCATGTGTGGGCTAGGTACAACAACACAGTCACCTTCCTTTATGTCCCATCACCATGGAAGAGATTGACTCTTTTAGATGGTAAATTTTGGGAGCTGCACCACCGTTTTGGAATTGGCTTCCCCTAAAGCCTGGCCAGAATTTAGACATCAAACAGTGTTATAGACTCCTTTTAGCTTTACCAGTGGTCTCGTCACTGGCTCCTTAATACATTTCCCCTGAAGAAACTGAACGTATGCAACTATTTGGCCAAGTTATCCCCTTGCGCACCTCCGCAGTTTGCCCCAGTGAACCCAGGCTGTGGGAATGATCATTGTACAGACTAACCATGACTTTTTGTGCTGCTTTGCAGATCTGCTGAGGTTGAACACATGCGTACCAACCACAGGCTGCAAATTCTCCTGCAGACACAGAGGGAATTGATGAACAAGGAGCTCTGGCTGTACAGTAAGCAGAATCCTCTCCCCATCTTAACTTAGAAGCTTGTGGGCATGACAATCTTATGGCCATATAATTGTTTTGAGTCTCCTTGCTCTCAGAGCTCGCTCTCCACACCCCTCTCAAGGAGACCATGCTTCCCCAACATCCCGAAAGCAACAAGTGGAAAGTGGCTTCAGGGGTGTTGCAGGCAGTAGGGAGGGGAGAAGACCAGCATTGGCAAAATGTGACATATTTTGGTGACATCGCAACTTCTTTTCTACTCCTCCAAAGCAGTGCAAGTCACACAACTGGAATCACCATCTAGCTGCTTTGCTGGATGGGAGGAGCATGGAGGTACTTTGGAGTAGCTTTATCTCCATGCTTTTTCCCGTGTGGGATGCCTGTAATCCTCTGAGTTTGGACGGTTACTGGCAACTCCACAGAATTGCACTGTAAGGTAACTTCATTAAACTCTGAATCTTGTGGGGGGATATGGGGTTGGGGGCAATAATTCTGAGGCAAACTATTGGCCAAGTGAGAGGTAGAAAATGGATTCCATGGAAAATGCAACAAAGGTATCTCAAAGGTCTCTGCATAGGTGCCAAAAAGGTTCCAACAAGAGGACCCGGAGAACTAGACTCTTGGACCTCTGACAGAATAGGGCCAAGATCTGAGATAAAAAGCAACTGGGTCTTGTGGATTTTGCTGGCTTAGGCTCTTTCAGAAAGTTTGCTGAATTTTTTGACACTGTGTATTGTACCAAATTAAGTTGGTATGTATTATCCTAAGTACCAGAAGCTGGAGCTGCACCCAAACCATAAGCTGTGGCTAAAGTGTAACAATACCAAAACATGTGCAAAGGAAAGAATCCCAAATTAACTGTTCTGTTCTGTTGTTATAGCCACATGTGGGCCAACCAGGGTTGTTATTGTGTGCTTCCCTGTTTTTTCCTTATCTGCACAAAATATAACAGAAATGACACACATCGCCCTGTGACTTTAAAAGGTCATTGTGAAATGGGGGATAAGGTATGAATGTAAGCAAACAACAGAAACCTCACTAGAGAAAGTTGTATTGACAGAGGAAGTTTTGTTAAGTTATAGTCATCAAATGCTTTGTGAAAACAGGCTTTGTTTTGTTTTTAATTTGGTTGTAGTTTAAATGGGGGCGATCCAATGTCTGCATGCATTGTTGTAGAATAGGAGATCCTTGCTATGCTATCAAGAAATTATTTGTAGAAGCAGGTTTCCATGTTGAGATGCTATCTTTTTGCATCAGATTCTGAGAATGTTGGAGGAAGAGATCTTGGCCCTGTTATCTGGGCAGAAATTCTCTTAGTAGCTTATGGTGATGTGTTTTCTGTTTAGTTGGGATCAACACTTTTGACTATCTGGGAAGCATCCTGAGTTACATAGTGATTGCTGTTCCCATATTTGGTGGTGTCTACCATGATCTGGATCCAGCAGAACTGAGCTCCTTAATTAGCAAGGTGAGTTTTGACAGTTCTTCTGGGTAAGAGCTGGTGTTTTTTGTGTTTGTCTTTCCATCCATCTGGGATTCCTTTAACAGCCATTGGACAAAGGACTCTAGAATTCTGACTTCTGAGGTTTCATTTCATTTCAAGCCATACGGACTTAGAAACATGCTCTTCTTTTATATTTTAAAGTATTGAAAGCTGAGATTCTGAGGCTATTCACTTTACACTCATATCAGGTTCAAGGCTTCTGCAGTGGTATCATGGAAGAACTTCTTCCTAGATGTTAGTAATAAAGGAAATGGTTGTCCTTCCCATATATTTGCTCTTATTTCACTATGAAAATTGCTGTTCTTTTCATGTCAAAACTATCAACCACAGAGTTGGAAGTGATTATTGATAATTTAGTCCAACCGTTTATCCAAAGATGAGTACTCTCTCATTGCCCACCATATATTATCCAAGCCACAGGATGCCACAAATAAAGAGCTGATGTACTGTAAAACAGTGGCCCCTCAAGCACTACTAATGGCCACTGTATCAATATTTCTACAGAAGATGATGCTACTTTCAGGGAAGCTGTTGCTATACAATGAAGAAGAAACCTGAAATGAGATCAGTAACAGCACACAGTCCAGCCATGAGATGTCTGCTGCTCCCACACACTGTCTGTTGGGAGACTGCCGATGCCAGTCTCTGCAGGTAGTAAGAGAGGCAGATTTATGGTTTCATCTGTTATGGAATGAGATGCCTTCTGTTCATAACAGGAGTGGCCTGAGTCAGTCCTTGGAGAAAGAATTTCTTGAGCTCATCAAAACTGTCTGAAACTAATCATGCAGATCTAAAAATAGTCAGGCCAGACTTTCCTCACTTTCCAGGAAGAAGCTTCTTTTAAGCAGGAAGGGGCCACCTAACTAGAGCAAAGGTGGATGGGTAGCTGGTTGTCATGACTCATGTGGGGGCATTGATCCCAACACTGCTGGGAATTGCTGTTGACCTTGGCAACAGACTATGACGCTAGCTGCCAATGGCTTTAGACCAGCTTTAGAAACAAATTATAATCTCTGATTCTCCTTCCATGTTGTTTTCATTCTTACATGCTCTTAAGTGCAATGTGGCAGAAATGTATTTTAAGATATAGAGGTCAGGAAGCCTCATATTTCAGACAAGTGCTCTGTTAAGCAGTGGTTCCTGTTAAAATGAGTCCTCATGTTATGTAAGTCGAGCCCTCTGTGTGCTAAATGGCAGTGGGTCACTGAGTGGGATACAGCCTTTAAGGCAGCCCCAGCAGACAGCTTGCACCAGTGGAACTCACTGTGGGGAGAAAATTCACACCCTGCTATGTAACCTCTAGGTTACTGTCTCCTTGTGAGCATCAAGTAGTAGTAATGCCACTTAAATCCATTTCAATTAAATCCAGTGTGTAACACAACAAACTAGAAAAGGCCAAGTTTATAGTATCAGGCAAGGGGTGTGTTAGCAACTCTTGCCCTATATATTGATTCCCAGCCCTTGGTGACTCTCAGTTTGCATATGATTTTTGTCTCTTGCAGAATGCCTTTGTTTCTATCTATCTGATTAGCTGCTTTAGCCAGCTCATTGACCTCTCCACCACTGTGTCTAATGTAGCTGGCTATACACACAGGTAGGTGCTCTTCTGTGTGACTCTACCTGAGAGGCAGTCAAACAGTGAGGGCCATCATCTATCTGTTCAGAGCTCCTGCAGAGCAAAGTAGCATATAGGTGTTGTTACAACAGCTTTTGTTCTCCTCTGAGGTGTGTCACAAGAAGAAACAGACATGGCAACCTGTGTCTTCTCTCCAGCATAAGATGCTGAACACCTGCAGTTAGAATCTATTGGGAGTGCAGAGGAAAGAATGTGAATTTTTCCTATTATATTTCTTAGTATCAGGGGGTTGGTACCTCAGTCTATCTGCATTTCAGGAGTCCAGTATGATTTCACAAGTTAACTAATTTAACTTAATACCTGAAGGAACGCCTCCTTCCTTATAAGCCCTCATGCCCCTTAAGATCTGCAGGAGAGGCCCTGCTCCAGGAAGGCTCCCTGAAGGAGGTAGAAAGGACATCTACCTGGAGTAGGGCCTTCTCTGCAGTGGCGCCCAGATTGTGGAATGCGCTCCCTGGAGAGGTTCGCCTGGCGCCAATTTATACTCTTTTCGGTGCCAGGTCAAAACCTTTTATTTAATTGTTATTTTAAAAAATTAGTATTTCATTGTTTTAACAGTGGGTTTTGATTTAATTTTTTACTGGTTATTATATAGATATGGATTGTTTTATTGTATTTTGATTTTAAGGATTGTAAGCTGTCCTGAGATGCCATGCATAAGGGACAGCATATAAAAAAATTAAATAAATAAATGATATATTAAGTAATTTACTTCCCTTCCTTTGAAGGCCAGCCTTCTCAACAAGTCTTTCCTGAGCTTTGCTTTTTAAAAATAGGAATTGCTCTGAGCATAACTGGTTCTCTCTCATTCTGTCCTCAATTACTCATTCTTTTGTATGTATGAAGAATTGGGGAATTGCAGGAAATGCTACTGAAACTTTCCAAGAAACAAAGAGATTGTGAATTGCAAGCTAAATGGGACTTCAGCAGGTAAGTAGTGATAGCGTCAAACATGGGATAGCCACATGCCACTGTGGCTACTGGAACCTTGGGATGGGGTGCAAATGGCTGCTGCACATCTTGGCCTTGCTTCTGGGGTAATAGGATCATGCTAGCAGGTGGAATCTGAAGCTCAGGTATTACTTTCCGTTTACGTATCTCTCTGTTGTGGTATGCAGTGCTTGCTGAGCACTTGGAACAAACATGGAAAAGCTACAGTGTGAAGTAGGAAACTGACTTATGGCAGGTTAGACTGTCTGTCTGTCCAGCGCCTAATTGTCTGCTCTGACAGTAGCTCTGTCCAGGTGCGGGTCTTTTCAACTCACCTGCTACTTTACCCTTTTTAAACTGGGGATGCCAGCAATTGAACCTGGGATATACTGTATGTTCTTGCAGTCACTTTTTATACTGATGACGTGTGTCAGTTGGCTCCCAGCCAAGATCCAGTTTCAGGAGACGCCTGGGCAAAGCCTTGTGGGTAGAGCTGGTGAGGACACCACAACATATGAATGATAGAGCAGGTGACAGGGACGTGGGTAAGATGCAAGCCCAGATGATGCCTGAAATCTGATCATTGGACCTCAAAACAGATATTGCAGGGCTGAAAAAAGATGCAGAAAAGGATTGGCATAACCCCATTATTAGGAAAGATTGCAGTGCTGGGACTGTTGAGCTTAGGAAAACAGTGAATAAGGAAAGACGTGGCAGAGGTGTATAAACTCACAATGACACTTTTTTATTCCTCCCTCAGAATGCTAGAACCTAGTGAAGCTGAATGGTGGGAAGTTAAGAAAAGACTAACAGTTACTTCTTCACTCAGTGCATAATGAAACTATGGCGTTCTACAAAAGTTGCAGTGATTGCCACCAACTTGGATGGCTTTAAAGGGGATTAGACAAACGCATGGAGAAGACCATCAGGGGCTATGAGGCCTGATGGCTTCATGTTCTCTTGAGTTCACCTCTCAGTTATTTGCTAGGGATGAGGAGCAGGAGGATGCTACAGTGCACATGTTTTGCTTGTTGGCTTCTCATAAACATCTAGTTGTTCAATGTTTGAAGAGGATGTTGGACTGGATATGTCCTTTTGGTCTGATCCAGTATGACTTTACATTCTTACTTGAGGGCAGCAGCAGTTGGTGCTGGACAAGCTATGGGTGAGAAGCACAGAGGTTTGCAGAGGAAGGAGGACTCCAGGCCCTGTGGCCCTTTTTTAATCACACCAAGAGTTCCTGATTATGACCCTTTTGAACTTGCTTAGGCCCCTCTTGAAGGGAAGCCATATATTTTGCTGAGCAGCTTTATGAATGATCCCCTTTTCTTCCTCTCCATGCTTCTGTAAAGGAAGCAGGAGCTGGAGTGGTTGGCTGTTAAGAACTGCTTCTGCAGCAGGATGCTATATAAGTCATAATTTTTGGTGGGTTTTCAAGTTGGATTTCTCAGGCCAGTGCATTTCTGCCCATTTCTGGCTGTGTGTCTGAGGGAGCTCTAATTCCAAGGTTCCTAAGTGGAGAACTGCAGTGATAACTTGTAGGTGCTCCCTTTGTGATGCTGCTGTAATATATTCCAAGGCTGTGCCTTTTTCTCCTTCCTTGTTCTTTCCCTTCTCTCTTTTTGGTGGGGCTTGTTACTTTTAGTGCTGCTAAAGAGGAGGTGGTCTCTAGCAAAATAGCTTTCCTGCTGGAGCAAGTCAGTCTCTCTGCTCCTCCTGAGAAGCTACTTATCAAGGACCTAAACCTGAGAGTCACACAAGGAAGCAATCTCCTGATTACCGGGAACACAGGCACAGGGAAGACATCTTTGCTACGCATCCTTGGTGGCCTCTGGGAGAGCACAGCTGGTGAGTCTGTCAGCCCCCTGAAGTGCTGCGTTGATGGGGAATCCTTTTAGCAGGCTCTGGGTGGACCACTGAGCCCTCATTTGCACAATGTTCAGAAACTCAAATGCAGCCCCTCTCGTGCCGAGCTGTTACTGTGGTTGCATGTTACTATGTTCAGGTAACAGGTTTTTCTCATGACCTATTCCAACCTGATGCATCAACAGATTGACCACCTGCTACATGCCATCCCAAATGGTGGGTCTCCCTGTGTGGAAAGCCAGTCTCACTTCACAATGCTGAGCAGGACTTGCTAGATGCTTCACCTGTTGCTACTTGCAAGAGAATGGGGTAAAGCTTTGATTCATGCACAACTGGACATGACAGGTGCCTGGCTCCCCAGGCAGCTAGAACTCTTGTGAGATCCTTATAAATTGCCACATGTGAAGTAAGTGGCATTTCCTTTTACACGTGTACATCACTTAAAATGTCAAGTGCCACTGCAGAGCTTGGCTAGTTAATTTGCCTTTGTTTGTTTTTCCATTGCCTGGACTCCTTTTCATGAGAGTTGGTGAAGCATCATGACTAACAGTGCAGTGTTGCACAGGTCTGCATGAAAGTTCATGAAATGTGTGCTTCTTGTCCTCACTGTGCCCCATGGAGAAAAGTTTTTATCTCTGAGACTGGGAGTAGTTTTAACTGCTAAGCAGAGCAAAGCACTTATCTCTGATCTGCTGCTGAAGATGCTGCCAAACTGGCTAGACAAAGCATCAATATTCTGCTTCTTTTTACCTGATCCCACAACACCAAACTCTCCAATACTGAGAATGCTCTTGTCCTGCTTTATCAGATTGTTGTAGGAATTATTGCGTTAATGTATGTGAAGTGCCTTACACTTCCTAAAGTAGTCATTGCCAAGTCATTATTTTGGTTACAGTTATGGCGACTGACATGGAAGTGTTGGGTCATAGACCTTTGTATGTAATTCTTTCTGTTTCATCGACACAGGGCATGTTCACATGCTTTCTTGTTTTGGACCCCATGGGGTGATGTTTTTGCCACAGAAGCCTTTCTTCACAGACGGGACCTTACGGGAACAGGTGAGTTACCTCACTGCCAGACTCATAGATGATTAGTTTTCCTGCTTGCCCCAGGCTAGTTCTTGTAATTCTAAAAAAACATTCTGGTACTTGTTGTCATAGTCCTTACATTTATCCACTACCTTTCTTCCTTTTTCAAGGAACTCAAGGTGGGTTACGTAGTCTTCCTTCTCTCCTTTTATCCTCACAACAACAAACCTGTGGGGTAGGTTAGGTGGAGAGGCTCTGAACATCAGGACTGAGTGGCAACTAGAACCTGAATCTCTAGAGTCCCAGTCCAGCACTCTCTCCACTATACCACATTGGCTGCCGTTATTGAAGCAGTAACCAGCTCAGCCTTAGCAGCAAGTAATCAGCCAGCCTTCAAACACATTGTATTAGATAAGGCCAGTGGTTAACATGGGATGTTAATGGAGGGACATTGTGGTGGCTTGTTCTCTTCAGCCTTTGTATGACTGTGAGGCTTCTTATCTGGAGTTTGTGTCTGATTTATTAATTTAGGTAATATACCCCCTGAAGGAAATCTATCCAGTTTCGGGTGAGTGGGAAAACATGGGAACAGTTGTCCCCAGTGGACTCAAAGTGCTTCTGCTTTCTGCCTATGTTGTGTGTCTCTCCTTTGCAGAGTTTGTCTGCATTGCATGAATTCACCTTGTATTCCCCTGGGTCTTTGGATATTAATTGCAGGGGTGCTCAGTATGTGGAGAACTGTAAAATGTCTCTCTTGAGCATACTCAGCTTTGGGAGCCATGAAGCCAAAAGAACATTTGAGTGAGTTATGTGTATTGCAGCAAGCTTATTTTTGGGTATGGATTGCACCCAGCCCTCATTCTGACTTCTGCATTGCAATCCTGTTGGCCACCAACAGTCAGTCTGGAGGTCAGTGAGCTCAGGAGTGAGCAACACACTGGCTGCATGCAGCCCCAGCTGCTTTCCCAGAGTAGCTCCTGCCACTATGGCACCACTGAATTTGGAACTGGTGTAACAAAGCAGTAGTAAAAGGTCAACTTTAGCTTGAAAGCAAGCCAGTCTTGACTTTTTTTACTTCTCTGTGGGTATGGTGGAGTTAAATTTGACCTTTCCCCCAAAACTTAGCAGCAAAATATACTGTGTGCTCTCCCTCCCTCCCTAAATACAGACACACACACATCCATAGTGTGTGTGTGTGCACGCACGCACGCATTGCTGCCAGCAATTTCCGTGGTGCTGTGATAGCAAGAGTGCAGCCCCCAGTGGGAGGGGCATCAAAAATAGGCCCAGGACCTTCCTGAGAAGCTGCCCACCCCTCTTGCAGGAGGAATCCAGTGAGCCCTAGAGGAGAATAGGCCCATTTTATTCACTCTAATTATCCCTCCACAAACTAAGCACCCCATCCCCAGGTGGCTGTTTCCATGGTCAAAATTTGCATCAGGCCCTATGGATCAATCTTTTGTCTTCATGTTATGCTTATTTCATACTATGGCTTCCCTATTTTAAAAGGGTATATTTTTAATTTTTTTCCGAGTTGCTGTGCACTGCTTTGATGGCTTTTAGCAGGAAGGCAGTATAGAAATAATACTGAACTGAATTATGGAGTTATTCTTTGCCTTGTATATAATTTGTTCTTCTCAGTCTGCTGCTTCACAATAATTATAAAGTAGCTGTCATACCAGTATCCTGTCCTCTGTGATGAAATGTTACAGCATCGTCATTGTACATCAACTTGACAGAGTTTCATAAGCAAAAATTTACACATGCCAGCTCTTAAATTGCTTACAGTGGTTCTGGACCAAAGTATTAAACCCAAGTGTTGGGGGCACTTTCAGAAAGGTGGGATGGGTCCAAATATGGCAGTCAAAGAACTGCTGCATTTTGCATTCAAGGTGACTTGAGGTGACTTGAATGTTTTTCCTCTGGCATTAGTACTTTAGTGGCTCACTGACAGATGCAAATTCTCACTTAATGTTGCAGGTTCAAGTGCTGTCCTTGCATGTGTGAGCCAGCCCCAGAATGATCAAACGGTGCATCTTTTTCTAGAGGACATTCTCTGGCTTGCTAGCAAATTGATTAGACTAGGCTTGGGCAGTGAAGTAAAATTTAGAACCACTTGAAGCAGACTTTCAAGCTGTTAGTAAGATGACATCTAAATAAAACAACACTTGATTAACTGGCAGCTGTGCTCTGCTTTCAGTTAGTCTGGAAGATCATCTTAATATAAACTTAATTCTTTTATGGTAAATAAATACTTCCAAGTAGCTTTGTAGGTTTAAAAACCCCTCTGCTCTGTTTCTGTTTCAATAGGTGCTAGCACACATGTCTATATTAAGCTGTTTCTCTAATGCAGGCATGCTGCATTCCTCTAGTTCTTTAAATAACTACTCTTCCCATTGTCTGTGTTTTCATACTCGGGTTTCCTGACTTTAAAAACTGATGTAGCTGTACCAAATGCTTGACTGTGTTTTAGGACAGTTAAATGAGAGTGCAGGTTAACCCTAAATATGGTTGATATTGCTATCAATCTTAACTTTTAACTGCAGGGAAACCTATTGGCAAGAAGTGACATGACAGAAGAGAGGGGCCTGGGGAAGAAGGCATTTGTGCTGGTTGGGAGCATCATATATCCACAAACCCAAATGGCAGAAACTTTCACATACTAAGAGCATTAATTATGGTTATTTGTGGTGTACAAATTATCTCCCCTCCCCTTAATTCCTAATTCCTGTATTATATGCTAGCAATTACCAGTCTGTTCAGTGCTGGGCATTATTCCTAAGTATTGCCAACTATTTTCTGACATTCCCCTCAAACTTAGGTACATCAGAGATGGGCAGAAGGTTGGCTGGGATCTACTGGTAGGTCCCTGGGTGATTTGCAGTAGATTACCAAGAATGTCTTACTGTCTGGTTATTGACAGAAGCAACAAAACAACATTTTTCCCACCTCAGTTGGGCTGCTGAAATGAAGAAAGTTTGAGAGAATCAGGAGTGGGGTTTTGCATGTGAGGGCTGTTAGCTCAGTTCTGTTCCAGTACTAAGAAAAGATTCCTAGGCTCAGAATATGCTTAGAGGCACCCTGCTCTTTAATTCTAAATGTGTCTCTTTTGTACCTGGCTCATTAGTGGATCTTGGGATTCCAAAATACATCTCATAAGTAAAAAGCTTGCCTACCTTTGATGTACATTATGTGATAACAGTATTGTTATCAGTACGGCTGGACCTCCATGTAATGTGCTTAGGTTTAGCCTGTTAACTTTTCAGATCTAAGCAGACCAAGGCCATAGAGTCCCCTGCTCAGCCATTTTCAAATTTCTTGGATGGTGCAGCCCCACAATTCTGTTGCTTTAAATGCAATTTCTTGCATAATAGGGTCTGCAGATGATGAAAGGATACTGAAATTCCTGGAGCTGACTGGGCTGGTGAGTGATCAGGGGAACAGTTTGTTCTTTATCCCAGTTTCAGGAAGAGAGTGGCTATAAATCAGGGATGTTCAACCTCAGATCCCTGCTAGTCCTCTGAGGTTCCCAGATAATCACTGCTCCTTCTCCTTTCTCTCAGCCACAAATTGTTTAGTGGTTTCCTGGCTTTTGTGTGTTTTCACATTCTAAAAGCTTGAAATGGCTCTACCAAGCCATAGTTATTGTCAGTAATGCCAGCCCCTGGAACATAGCCCCCAAGAGCTTCTCCAAAATGGAATCTGATCCTCAGGCAGAAAGAGGTTTGACACTCATACTAGAAATGCTCAGCAAGGTTTTCTTGTAATGTTGTTCAATTCTTTAAAAGAATGATGCTGAAATTACAACTTTATCAGCGATCTAGCTGCCTGGAGCCTTATCCTTGATTCCAGATATGCAGCATGAACGTTCTGAATTCAAAGACAACGCACCTCTAAGCATGGAGTATTTGGTATTCCAAAGGTTGGCCATGATAGTTAAAAGTAGTAGCAAAGCAGAATTCTGGCTCAAACTAAGTCTTCCCTGACTTGGCGTCCTCCAGATATGGAACCAGGTTGGGGAGGCCAAGGAGCATCATATGAACAAAACCAACAGAAACTCTGATGACAGAGATGATTGTCAAGACAGTATGTCAGAGAACATTTGGTCACGACAGAGGGATGGCACTGCCCACCAGGTGGGAATGATGGGGTTGGATTAAGGTAGTAAGGCCGAATATGCCTTTCACATAGTGTCCATCTTAGTAGACTGCTAATTGCGGCTGCAGTATGTCCTAGTTTTCACCACTGTTGTTTTTTGTGTCTGATGCAGTCTGACTTGTTAGTGAGAATAGGAGGTTTGGACCAGCCAGTGGACTGGAACTGGTAAGGCTGCTTTCTGTTAACTGTGTAGTGGGATTCATGGGCTAGGTGAATCCTCAACTGCAGCTGGTTTGCAAGATAATTCTCATCAGTGCTTCATATCTTTGCTGCAGGTATGATATTCTGTCTCCAGGTGAGATGCAGAGGCTGTCCTTTGCCCGACTCTTCTATCTCCAGCCTCAGTATGCATGTAAGGAAGGGAATTCCGGTCGGGGAGGCATCAGGTTTATGACTCTACTTAATGCAGAAGGAGTGGCTTTGTGTGAGGACTCTGTATTATACTGCACAAAATTATTTTCTTTTGGTAGCAGTGGTCGTGATTGGTTGAGCTGTCTACTGCTTGTTGCCATTGGCTTCACTGCTCTGATCCTAAAGTTGGTGGGTCATCATTGACTGTGTTGCTTTATTTTAAAGTGTCTGCCTGTTACTGGCTTAGCAGCTAAATTCCTATAGAAGGACAAAGCAGGGAGACAGGACCTAAACAAACAGGAATAGATTGAGCAAGATGTGAGTAAAGGATCGAGTCAGGAGTCTGAAAACTTGCAGGCTAAGTGAGGGTGGGAATGTCTAGGAAATAAAGGAACAGTCCAGAACAATGCACAGAATGAAAAGACGAATACAAGGGATGGGGGGAGACCAGGAGAGAAAATAAGCAGAAAGCAGAGCAGAGCCATGGCCAGAAATGACAAAGTGAAGAACTCTGAAGTTTGTTTATTGATCTGAAATAACAGGCTGGATTAGGTAAAGGCCATTAGTAGCAGTCTATTTTAACTGAGGTAATCGTCAGCATGCATTGTGTTTCATTTGGAATGGTATTGCACTGATGTTTCCTGGAAAAGTACTTGGAGATCTCTCAACACTACCCTTTGATGACATCTGTAAAAGCTTAAAATACCTCATCATTGTAAAGAATATAAAAAGAGCCCATCTGAGTTAGACCAAAAGCCTGTCTGGTCCTGTATTCCTTTCACACTGTGACCAACCAGTTGTCCATGGGAAGCCCAAAACAGGGAATAAGTGTAATAGCACCTTCCTGCTCATGGCATTCAGGGCAAACTGCCTGGAAGTTTCCAGCCCATATATTACATCTGGGAAATTGCCACTTGTTAAAGAATCTGTGGCCTTGTGTCATGTATACAGTTATGCCTTAAATGTAACGGCAAAAAGTTTCTTCTGTGCTTTTCCCAAGCTAGAATTAATCCTCCTTCCAGGTGTAGTACTGTGTCAGAAATAGCAGGACGACACTGGTGACAAGCAACCCACCTTTTTATGAACTTTGTAACAGGACTATACCATCTTGCTAGTCTAGAGGCTATAAAAATGTGTAAGACACCTTTTAAAATGGGGGGGGGGGCGACAAGCAATGAACAGCTACCAGCTGTCTGTTTTGCCAAGTTTTGCTCAGGAGGGGAGGGGAAGGAGTAGGGAAGAAGAGGCTGGAAGTTGTGGGTTGTCTTGGATGGCACCAAATGGAGAGGATTCCTGTTTTTTGCTGCAGTGCTGGATGAATCTACCAGCGCATTGACAGAAGAAGTGGAGCATGAGCTGTACAAGATCTGTGCACAGCTGGGGATGACTCTGGTCACTGTGGGACATCGGAGCAGCCTGGAAAAGGTAGGAATGCTGAGAGATTCTTAGAAAGGTGAAGGCCCAGAAACCTGGAAAAATTGTGGGAAGGAAATGTTCCGACTGTTCCCTTAAGGTCAAAATAGTCTTTGGGGAAAAAACACCCATTCCTCCCCCACCCCATTTTTTCCAGGACTTCATACTTCTAGGGTTGATCTGTCTGGGTAGAATTGCAGGGACAAAAAAATCTGTTTTGCATTAGACTTTGTGGGCGTGCGGTGTGTGCAATACCTCCTTGGAAAGCCATGGCTCTGTGTCAACCTTCTGTTAATTTCAGTTTCACAGCTGGAATTTGAAACTGCACGGAGGAGGAAAGTGGGAGCTAACAAGAATCAAGAAAGACTGAGCTGTATCGAAAGCTATCCTGGACAACAGCAGCAAAATATATTTTAAAGTATCAAATGAACTACCAAAGTGCCTTGAAATCAGCTTGCCTTAAGGGAAGCATCTGGTTGAAAGACTTGGAACATCAGAAGCAGCAGGTGCTAATGGGGCTTCTGTGGTCAAAAGGCCTCTAGCTTAAGGAACATGGAGAGGGAGGAGTTCTAAATTTCTTTTTGCCTTTCACTGAAATAGTTGCCAAAATGTTTTGACTACTGTATCACCTATTCAAGATTTTACACAGAAGGCTTCCATCCTGGTATTACATCTTAAGTGAAACTATTTTGAATGGTGTTGAAGCTCTCCAGCATGGAATTCAATAGACAGCTGCTGACCTCTCCCCAGCAAGTCGGTGGATGAAGTACAACTTACTACCATCTGAGCCTGTGTTTTGTTTCAGGCTTAAGTTTCATCCTCTTTCCCTGAGCAAGAGCTTCTGTAAGGAAATGTTCTGCTATGCTTGAGAATTTACCCGTTCTTAATTCAACAACTGGGAAACTACCTCACTGCTGCAGATGTTGTTTCAAATATTCAATAGAAGTAACACAAAGATCAGGCAAACCTAGTTTTCTCCCAATACCTACCACCAAAGGAATCTGTTATACATTAAGAAAGCATTTATGAACACACCTGACACTGTTGGAGATCTATCAGCACTTCATGCTAGGACAGTATCTTTCCTATATGTGCTCCATTTACCTTAGGAGTGTTGAAGGCTGCATTCTCTTATTAACAACATGCAGAGTCGCTGGTGAGTAGACTGAATCCAAAGCATGTGCAGGGCCAGAAACAAAAAGTGGGTGTGTCACTCCTGGCCTCTTTCTTTTTATTCTCTTCCTTCCCATGCATCAGCCTAGCAGTGGTGGAGGCACCTTTTGGGGACAGATGAGGAAGCACATTCTTGGCAGGAGTTACTGATCGTGCTTGGCCGAAATTCCTATGGGCTATTGCTACTCAGAAGCAATTTGAAATTATGCAAATTACTAAGAAGAAATTATGTGGGTTTGAGATTTATTTGGATTTTTAAAAAGTGTTCTAGTCCTCTCTGGGTTAATATTAAGGGGAAGAGTGGTCTCAGAAACAAAACTTGGAAAAAGTGTGTATCCTGTGTTGTTTAAAAGTTGAGATGCTAGAAGGGATAAAGCCTCTGACAGTCAACAGGAGAGGCTTCTGCATAGCATCCTATTCAAGTACCTTTTCTCCATCCACATATTGTCCTTCATATGTTAACCACTTGATCAGTGTTGTCAAGCAATAAAATCTGAAGGGTGTTTTCCTTCAGAATGTGGAATAAAGTAAACTTGGAAGTCTGTCTAAATGTGAAGAGTGTTGACTTGAATGTTTCGCATTTCCTTCATTGCAGACCTCAGTTTCAATTTTTTATGTGAACCTTGGAGCACATGCACTGACCGCTGGGAAAGGTTTGGGAAAAGAAAGGAACCTGGTCTCCAGCATACTCTTTCCCTTTTGCTTTGCAACTGCCTCTACGTTCCCTTTTCCTGTTGGAAAATATGATTGGCTACTTTAGCTGTTCTTCATTTACAGTGAATCAAGTCCCTTTCCCCTCTGCAAGGGATTACAGCAGCGGAAAGGCTGCTGCTTGCAAGATACTCTTGATGCAGCTTTGGGTGCTTGGGAGCTCTTGCACTACTGGCTCTGCTGTTTCTGCAGAAGTTGCTTATGACCCTCAATGATCTCTTTCACTGCCTCATGATCATCCAGAGTTGTCAGATCTCCAAGTTCATCTGCTTTGTCTTCTACAATCTTCTTCAGAACCCGCCGCATAATCTTCCCTGAGCGTGTCTTTGGCAGATGTCGAGCTACCTGAAGCAGAAAATGAACGGAAAGATTAGAGCAGGACTGAGAGAACTGGTGTTGCTAACATCAGCTTGAGAAGCAGAAAAGTGCTAAAATCACGTTTGAACTCTCACACACTTTTGTATCCACTGCACATACAAAACACAGACAAGCACATGTTTGTGCTGCACACACTGGTGGTTGTACTTCCTCTATCCCATCTCCTGTCAGGTTGCTAAAAGCACAACCCACAAAAGAGGGAAATCTTGTCTCACTCCCAATGCTATCCTGGGCACCCTCTACTCTCACTTTAAAAGCCAGTCACCAAGGAGGCAATCCTAGTTCTTAGTGGCCAAATTAAATCTTTACTCATTGGAGCAGGTTCCTGGCTGACTGTCTAGTGTAAGTGAACTGGCCAGGCCATTGATCCGATTTTACACTACTGAGGGCTGCAATAAGAGTTGGGGTAGAAGAGGCTGGACTTCAACCTGGCAGTGTAAATTCATAGGAAGGGGGAACAAAAGACCAGATGCGAGAGCTCATAAAAGGGGTTCATCAAGCCATGTCATTTAAGGTAAAATGTGCCCTAGAGAGCTGGAGGCACCCCCTTTATTTTTCTAGAGACCATCTAGTGATCGATGAAAGGACTAATCTTCCCCTTTACTATCTTCTTAGTTGGAAACTGCTTTGAGCAATGCTTGTATATTAGAAGGGCAGGGTAGAAATGTTTCAAATACATCTGAAAGATTACTTCAGGCATCTTGCATAGCCTTAACGCATAGGTGCTTGAGCGCATGGTGGTGGGGCCACTCCACGCATTCTTGGAGGAAATGGATCATCTAGATCCATTTCAGTCTGGTTTCAGGCCCATTTTTGGGACTGAAACTGCTTTGGTGGTCCTGTGGGATGACCTCTGCCAGGAGAAAGACAGGGGAAGTGTATCCTTTTTAGTTCTCCTGGACCTCTCAGTGGCTTCAAGACCATTGACTATGGTATCTTGGGTAGGCTGGTATGAACTGAGATCCTAAACTGGTGCCTGTGTGAAGTGAAGAACTGGATGAGGCTGAGAACTGTTGTGAGCCGCCCCGAGGCTTCGGCGAATGGGGCAGAATAGAAGCTTCCTAAATGAATGAATGAATGAATGAAGCTTAATTCAGACAAGATGGATATGCTATTGGTGGCGGAAACCCTGATCCAGGGAGATGCTATCCATCCTGTCCTGGATGGGGTTGCACGTCCCCCAAAGAATGGTGCTAAAAGGTGCTCCTGGACCTGGGATTGTCCCTGGAGATTCAGGTGGCATCTGTGCACATCTTCAATATGCATATGCTAGGGGCATTCTGGAAACCACCAACGCCTTATTTTCCTCATATTGCTGATACTGTATATTTGGATATGTATTTAATCTGTTTTATGTTTATCTTTTCTGTGTTGAAGTATTACTGTGAAACCACCTACATGTCCCTTTGCAGAGGGGCAGTATACAAGCAATATAAAGAAATTGTACCAAAATGTTCTGAGTAAATTGCCATTAAGAACAGAAGTATTTGGATACTTCGGACCAAGGGTTTTGTTTTGTTTTTTTAAAGTATTTGAAATGCCTTTGTATATAAAATTGCGTTGACTGTATAGCTCATCTGAAGGTTTGTGTTCTGCCACCAGCCAAAATACAAGGATCCACTGCTGTGTAGTACAAAGTCTGTTGTTACCTGAATGTATTCCGGTGCTGCATATTTTGCAATCTCTTTTGAAACCAGACCCTGAAGCTCAGGAATCAGGCTCTGTTGGGAGAGATGAGAACCCTTCTTCAGCACAATGAATGCATAGGCACCTGTAGGATGAGAAGCCAGGAGCAGGATATTAAAGTTTTTAAAGTGTTTTAAGTTTCAATTGTAATTTGCCTTGAAAATCCTATCTGGGCCCAAAGGTAACTTGTAAGAAAGAAAGAGAAAGGATACACAATCATTGACTAAAAAGATGCAAGTCAAGCAAAGTATTTTGCTAATATCCTGGCCACAATGTTCTGCTTCAGTAAAGTGGAAACTAAAGGCGCCTTCTGATGTTTGTGATAAAGCAGCCACTGCTGAGTGGATCTTGCCAGTGTTGGGAAAGCAATGTCATAAGCCCAAGACCATGTGTGAGGAGTCCATGCTGTAGCTCCAGCGCACAGAAGCCCCCAGATTCCAGGAAGAGTGATCCTTACAGGTGAAATAAAAGACCCAAAGTAGGATTCTCCTGCAGAGGCTGGTGTGGATGACATTACTTTTGGGCTATGGAAAGAAACATGCCCAAAAGTAGAGTCAGGCTGCAATCCTATGCATATTTTCCTTGCAAGCAAACCTCATTCTCCCTGTAGAAATTTCTTTGCATGTAAAAATGTTTATGTTTGTGTTGCAAGATCAACTTGCCAGATGTAGGTATTTATAGCAGGGCTCCTCTGACTTCTGACTCCACAGTGGGAATCAGAAGCATGTTTTGTCTCTGGTCTCCTCCCTTCACTTTGTCCAGCAACTGGCTTCTAATGCCTCCCACCCAAGGCCTGAATAAAATCAGGAATTCCTCCCAAGTAACATTAAAAGTTACTGCATATCTATTGCGAGTGAGAGCCATCTCATTCCCAATCATACCACAGAAATGCAGAATGCAAGAAAGAATCCCACTGGAGAATAATAGTTACCTTATACTGCTGTTCTCAGTAAAAAACAGGCAGGGGTTGCAGTACTTTACTGAGTCACTCACCTTCTCCTTTGATCTCGTGAGGATATCCAATCACAGCTGACTCTGCCACTGCCTGATGCTTATTCTAGAAGATAAACAGTTTTATCATTAACTTTAAACATCCTAGGTGGCTGGCACAAACAGGCAGGTCTAGCCAAAAGAGAATAGAAAGGCAAAGCTTTGATTGTTTAAGTCCTTCCTTTCATACCACTTATTAATGCAGATTCAGCATGATAGTGGTGGAGTGGGACTCCATCTTCCCTGACAGTTTGTACCATAAAAAGCAGTATGGGTTAATTTCTACATGAATGACAGATGTGTACAGAAAGATGAGGCAGAAGATGCTTTCGAGCAGTATTTCCAAAGAACTATGAGATAGTATCTTTGGAAAGTCAGTTGACTAGTTGTGAAAAGAAGGAAACATACAGTGCAACTACAATGTGCTTAATCCACCATTGTTGGAGTGTTTCCTCTGAATGACGTCTCCTTGTATACATGCACGTCCCATTGTAACACAACACTGAGGAGACTCCAGTAGGTTCCTGGCTTATTCTTTTTAGATCCTAGAAGCCTTCTGTTATAGAAGAGGGATGCAGGACAAGTTTGGGGTAAGGAATGGATTCTATCCCTCACCCCTAAAGTCTGGATCTTATCAGTAGGTATGGCCCTGTCCACTGATGTCATCCAGCCATGCCCATTCAACTTTTCTGAATGCTGAGAAAAATGAAAAAGCAAGGAGAAAGAAACTCTGATTTTTATCAGCTGAGTACCACACAATCTGATTTCCTTAGCACCAGAAACAGCAGTGGCTTTCTCTTAACCCCAGCTGAATCCGCACCACCTGCATCCTCTTAGCACCAATCTCCAGGAGCCTCCCAGACCAGAGTTCAGACCATGTGAGCTAGATGCTGGCTGGGGTTCTGCATCCTTGCTGTTAAAGGTACCTTTTCTGTCTAGTGAGTGGTTTTTGGCATTTCTGGGATCCTTTGTAGGCTGGATCAAAAATATTCCTCTTCACACAAAAACTGAATTCTGAGAATGGAAATCACAAACTGCAATCAGGATTCACTAGTTTAAAAAAATACGATACTTACGTATTTCTGCCAATTCATTTTACTTTCTCAGTTGTTTCTTACAAACTAAATCACTGTGAAAGGTGCACTGAAGAAGTAAAAGGATTGGTAAGCCATAAGTACCAGTTTTAGTGACTGCTGCCAGGCCATAAAATTTGCCCATCTCTTAAGATTTACTACTAGGATTCTAGAGAGACTAATTTGACAACTACTGATTCTGTTCCTCCAGTTAAACTCTATAGATCTGTTTCCGTCTTTTACCAGGACATCTTCTATCTCAGCAGTACCCAGCCTGTGCCCACTGACATTGATGACGTCATCAAGCCGGCCTGTCAGCTGATAGTATCCTTCACTTGTCCGATATGCTCCATCCCCAGTGAAGAAATATCCTAGGATGATTAGAGCAAGACAAAGTTGTACTTCAGTGTGCAATGGGATAGTTTTGTTGGATGAAAAACAGCTCATTTTCTATAACGTATCCCCTGTGAGGTGCAAACCCTCAGGCCCTTTGGAGTGTGCTCTGCCTTCTACATTTTCACTAGCTGGTAGGCTCAAAGGATGGCTGCAGACGAGGCCCAGTTCTCACCATCAAGGATGTAATACTAATTTTGCCTGGACTGCAACTTTTGACTACATATGAAAGATTCTTCTTCCATGGAGTGGCAGGGGCATTCCAGAACCTAAAGAAACTAACACTTTAGAGAAAAAGCTAAGCCTGAAATCTTGTTCCCTACATGGAGAATTTTGGGTGGCAGAACATTCCGCCATGGGCAACCTTCTCCAACCTGATGCTTTCCTGATGTTTTGAGTTTCTCCATTGGCCGGCTGCCTGGGGATTATGGAATCTGTAATCCAGAACAACTGGAAAGCATCAGGTTAGGGGAAAGTGCACTAGGAAGAGTAAATGCACCTTTCATAATACAATTCATATTTTCCATATGCTCTTTTTGTGTGTTTCTGTGTCATTGTGACAATTTTAATTTAATTTTAATTTAATAAAACATTTTTATCCCATCTTTTCACTAAACGTCTCAAGACAGCTTACAGAATAATAAACAATAAAAATACAATAAAATACATGTAATTTTTGTCCCCTCTCATGTTAAGAAGATGCTTGATCTTGTATTTCATTATATGGCATGCTTACAGATCTTCAGCATTTTGATTTTTACTGCAAGTAGTAACAGGGAGGACATCACACAGCGGAAATTTTATCAGCCAAATGTTCCTTCCCAGACCCATGCTAGCAGTGTGAATAATTTCTGAGTTCACCATTCTCAACTACATTTGCAACTATGAAGGCATCGCAGTAAGAGCAGTCACAGCCTCAAGAATCAGTCTGACTGACTGGAGATTTCTTCCTAGTGCAAAGAGCAGCTTCAGAGGAGATTGTTGTCAGGATCATAGCAGGGAAGAAGAGGGTTAAACACCCAGCTTCTTGTCATCCTACTAATTTCCCTCCTTCCCACCTTGTGGATACTATTTGCATTTAAACAAAAAACAGGTATATTAAATACAGAGATCCACTTATCATGATATCTAATTTTGCCCTAACTAGATACATGACAGGAAGGTGTGTTTGCCTTCTGGTACTCAATCTGTGCTCCTGAGTGTTAGGATTCATTGGAGAAGATAACACTAGGACAAAGGCAACCACGGCTTTGAGTTTACAAGAGCCGAGCAGGACTGTCAAGGTCAGGACATTCGTTCATAGGGTTCCCATTGGCCAGAGGCGATCTGATAGCACATCCCAGCTAAGTGTTGGGGTAGGGATGCTATGCAATCAGAAATGGAGGGCCGTGCTAGATGTGACATTGTCCACAGAATGACAAAATATGTTAATTTCTAGGAGTAGATGCCAGGCATGGTCCCTGCCCCCCAGTCTAGACTGAGACCTGGACAGGAAGATTTTAATATTTTACTGTTGCCCTGCTGCTTCCCACCCATCGCCTGCTATTTGCCTTAGAAGGAAAGCTCCTATTACCAGCAATGGAAGTTTTCCTTCCAAAGCAAATGGCAGGAGCTTGACCTGGATGATGTCTACAGCAGGGGACAAAAAGGTTAAAGTCCACCTACCCCTACCAATACCTGAGCCCAGATCAGTCCTCATGTACCTGCTTTTTACTTTGATTTTTAAAAATCCACACAATTATTAATTGACGGAACAGCATCACCCTTAATTTGACTCTGATTATTAGTTCTACTCCAACCCAATCTCCAGTTCTACAAACCCAGAAAGAAGAATCTTGCCTTCCAACCCATGTCAATAATTATGCGCTGTTTTCATTCCCCCTGGCCTTCTCCACAAATCTGTACCTGGGAAAGGCATCAAGTAGGTCTCCAGGAACCTCTGGTGATCATTGTATATGGTTCTTGCCATGCCTGGCCAGACCTGAGAAATGCAGAGAGCTCCAGAGACATCATTCTGTGATAAAACATTTCCCTGAGGAAGAATGATTTATCGTACAATTAATTAAAGCGAAAGCATTCTTGTATCCCAGTCCTGTTCATATTTACTCAGCAGGTTTTATTTATTTGTTCAATAGATTGACATACTGTTGTGTGTGTGTGTGTGTAACACCTCGTGAGCGATTTACAAAAGAATATTAAACTATATTCTAATATATCATATTACATCACATTTATTTATTTATTTGCTTATTATTACAGTCAACTAGAAGCACTTGAAATAGAGCTTTGGCTATTGAGTATTACAGAAATCTAAAAATATATAATATCTATATAAAAATTAAAATCTTCTAAAATAGTAAAAGTAAATGTACAGAACACTATCATTAAACAAACAGGGATGTATATTCACTCAGGGAAGACCTGGGTAAAGAGATGGGTCAGTAATTGGCACCTAAAGCACGCCACACTCAGAGCTCCCAAATACTGATGGAGAGGGCATACCTTAAGCGAGGTAGGTACCACAATACTGAAGACGCCCTTCTGGTTGCCACAAGATGACAATCCACAAGTCATCTTTGGAATTCGATGCCATAGGAAGTACTGGTGGCCACCAATTGGGAATACTTTTAAAGGGCTTGGACAAATTCATAGAGGAAAAGGCTGTCAATGACTACTAGCCTAGACTACCAGCTACCTCTGTTTTCAGAAGTGGCATGCAGCTGCTGTTGTTGATAAACCAGTTGCTGCGGAGCTTGGGCAGGTGGAACTCTTGCACCCATCCTGCTTGAGGGATCCTGTAGGCAGCCTGTCTGTCACAATGTGAACGGAGTACTGGTCTGGATGAACCATGGGTCTGATGTAGCATGGCTTTTCTTATGTTCTTAAGTCAACCAGCAAAATAGTGCAAAGTACTCCTAAGTAACTGCATATAGGATTGGAGCTTAAAGTATACAAATATTGTTAATTCTTAAGGCTGGTCCTATCATTAGGCAATGAAAAGTGGCCAGCTCAGGAGCCAAATGCTGAGATAGTGATGAGCAGGTGCAAGGGATTGGAACACAGTCTGTGTGGCATGTGTCTTGCCCTGCAGCCCCTAAGCTAGCCATCAGTCTTCAGGTGTAGTGAAGGACACCAATGTAAACGTAAGACTGAAGTGCCAGACTGGTTGGCTTCTATAGATAGCCCCAATTTTTTTTACCTCAGGCAGCAAAATATCTTGGGCAATCCTTGTTTATTCACTCACTCTACAAAACCATATAATTTAGATCACCTGTTAGCACTACAGTTTACCCCTAGCTTCTTATTCAGCAGCCAAGGTTTTGGAAAACAATACAAAAAAGGCCTTGGTAGAATTGATCAGAAGAACAGCCCATACTAATTCACAAGGAGGATGCAAAGGCACAGGAGGAAAGACTGGTTCTTGCAGTTTTAACTGTCAGAGTAGGAAGAACTCTAGGGAAATAACAAAAACCTGAATGAGCACTTCAGTTCCCAAATCCTACTGGATCCTAGCTGAACAATTTGAACAAAAAGTCATGCTTGAACTGATAACTCTTAACTAATTAATATTAGGTTGGATCCAGCTTTTTTTCTGCCAGGGAGGGCCTGTGTTTTTCAAAAGACTTCTGCTAGTAGAAAGGGTGAGGAGGCAATCTTAACTGATTTCTCCCTCACGCTGCAGCCCCCAGCACCCAAGAGGTCCACCAACCCTCTGAAGCAAACTGGGGGAAGGCATAAGAGGTCTTGGAGGAACATTGCCATCTCCGGCATTCAGCCAGCAAGATCCCTCCACTGGTTCTGACCCCTCCTGTGATCCATCAGAGGCTGCATCTGGATAATCCAACTCATTATTAATAGTGTAGTTATTCTTATCTACATGCATGCCACTTTCCAGAGAATGATCATAGTAGGAAAGGGAAAGAGGCTTGCAATTCAGAATACACTTAGTGAAGCAACAGAATGAGGGGGAGGGGGAGGGGGTAAGAAGAGGAAGAATATGTGATGACTTCAGCTATAAATATTTTTGGCTTACTGGTACTAGGGATGGGGAAGTTCCAAAGCTCTCCAGAAAATGTGATTTTTTGAGAACGAACTTAAAAGGGAAAAGGGAGCAGCCATTCCAAGCACAAGGAGCAAAAAGGAAATCAATAGAGCTGTTGTAGTTTTAATATAGATCTTCTCTCTGAGAACTCACATGAGTTGAAAAGTGGACTATAAATCTTCTAATGGCTAGAAAGATGATAGACAAACAAAAACATACTTTGTTATCCAGAAGGGAAGGTCTGATGCCAAAAAATGGTCTCATGGCCATGGCTGGAAGGATCTCATCCCCAGGGTTTGAAGGTCGAGGAGCAATACAGATGCCTCCTGTTTCTAAATTTAAAAAATGGTAATACCCTTAAAATATGGCCAGTGGCTACCTGGGGAATGCTAGGAACTGTAGTCCAGCACACCTGGAGGGCACCCAGTTGGGGAAGGCTGTGTTATGGCCTACAACAACTGAAAGCTGTAATAAACCACCCAGACAGCTTCAGCTATTTGGGCGGTATAGAAATGATGATGATAGGCGCTCCCAGATGAGGCTTGTATAGCACCAAATGCTTTGCCTCATTTGCTAAATGTTATGTGGGGTCCAGATGCTTTCATCTTTCAGTCATGAGCCTCCCATGTTTTCCCACTTCTTCCATCTGTTTCTTTTCCCAGAAAATCTATTAAATGTGCAATCCTGTGCATGCTTAAATATGCTGGTGGCACACGTGGTGCAGGGTAGACTTTTTTCTGTCTAAACAAAGGGAGGATTGTGCCCTAGAGAGGAAAAGATGGGATGGCTACATGGTAGTTCTAGGAGCCCTCTGTCAGGAAATTTTTCGTATCCCTCTCAGCAAGTGGGACATCATGCATACTGATCTTTGCATGATGAACCCCTGTTCATGAATCCTTCTCCTAACGAATTGCAGGTGAGAATGGCTTCCCTAAAGACAGAGACATTAAAGCCTTCCTACCGGTTTGCCACCATGTGTCAACTACTGGACACCGGCCGTCTCCAACCACATTGAAGTACCACTCCCAGGCTTTCGTGTTGATAGGTTCTCCCACTGCAAGTGGAGGAGAAAAAGCAGCCATCTTGAAAGAGCGAAAGAACAACTCAAGCCTAATCAAAGTGTATCAAACCACTACCTGCCGAGCCCTCTTTAGCCCTCTCTATATGAAGATGTTATGCATAAATATCTCTGGGTCTGCCTGATGCTTTGTTTCTGTAATCCACCATCTTACTTCTGAGGAATTTGGAAACAAACTTGTAAATACAGTGATGACAAAGACCCACCTGGTTCAAGTGTGGGAGAAATGTGCACAAAGCACATTTGACAGGAGACACTTACCAGGATATTGGCCAGGCAGGACTCCACAATTGGGCAGGTACAAGTGCCCACCTTCACACCTCCAGAAGACTGATTTTTAATGCTCTCAATTTTGCACATTTTTGCCATTTCAATCTTTTTTCCAAAAAAGTTTAACAAGACAGGGGTAGCACTCCAGAATTTGCTTGGGTATCACTGGCAGTGCCATGGAGCTCCAAAAAAAAGCAAGCAAAAATGCCAACAAAAACAGGGTCATGACCAGAACAGGGAGCGGGAAGCAAGACAGATCCCACTGTGCAAGACCCTGGGCTACCACTAGAGCACCAGTGGGGAAGCAAGGGAAGAACAGTTCACAGTCAATCCATGCAACCGTCTGGCACACCACAAACAACCCAGCAAGGCGGGTTGCCATGTCATGAGAACTCACCTACTACCTACCTGATCCAAGTATTTTGAGGGAAGATCTGTCATATTTTTTTACCCACTCATCACCATGTCTAAGTAGTAGACGAATAGCTGTAGGTGCTCCATAGAACTGATTTATCTTTAACCTCTCCACAGTTTCCCAGTAACGCCCTGAAATCAGAAAAAAATCCACTTACTTCAGGAAGTAATCATTTTCACCCTAAAGTTCATATTAATCTCTTTCTCTCTCCCCCCCTTCCACTCACACACACACATACACACGTGTGTTTCATGCATGCTTGGAAAATGAGTGCACTTTCCAAACGTATTGGCTCTGTCCTACCTTCACACCCCCTTCTTTATCACTAGCTTTGCCTGTTTCTTTTTTGCTCTTAAAGGACAGCCCACCTCATCTTGAGGCCATGAGAGAGGTAGTATGTCTTGTAATGCAAATATGAGGTAAATAGGGTTTCAGTGGAAGAGAAATTACTTTTCCACTTGATTACTCCAGTCCTGGTGTATCTAGTAAGTTCTGGGCTGTACCCATTTGGAAGGAAGAAGAAGGAGGCATTCAGCTGTAGGTTCAAAGTAGACACTGGGTGAGCTTGCATGACACAACAACCCACCCTGTGAACATGCTGCCCAGTGTGAGTTTTTGCTGAACAGCCTTGCATGATGTGCCTTGCACCATGCGTTGTTCTCCCTCACCTTCCTCCTCCCTGTAGTATTTATTTACATATGTTTACATATCCCAGTGACCCTCATGGCAAAGCCCTTTCTCTCCCCCACCCCTGCTTTGATCATGAACCCCTTTTTATCTGCCACTGCTCCCTTTTGTTCCCCAACATTTTGTTTTATTTTTCTGGAAATTCTGAAAAGTCCAATTGGACTTCAAAATGTGTCAGTCAACTGGAACACACTAGCAAACAGAAAAAAAGGGGGGGCAAAGTACACCAAAAGGGGGTGGGCCATACTGGAGGGCAGGACAGGAAGGTGGGTGGGGAGGAGGTTATTGTTTGGAGGGAGAGTCTGTGACCGTGATCTCGACTAGAGGAAGCCGCGATCACGAACGCGGCCATCTTTCTCGCTCAAACACTCTCTGACATGTGGTTGTGGTACAGGGAAGATGGACGTGATCGTGTTTGTGCGGGGAAGATGGCCGCGACCGTCTTCGTCACCTGATGTGAAGTTCGCGAACGGAAGCAAAATTTTGCCAGACTTTCTGTTCATGAACCAAATTGTTCGTGAACAGAAGCGTTCGTGAACCAAGGTATTACTGTAGTTTGCCACTGTGTGAATGGCCTACTAGACTACATGGACTATTTGTCCCATGAAGCATGGATTATGTTATGTTCTTATTTAAAGCCACATTTTCAATTACCTTAAGGAGTAATATAAGCACAATATTACCTTAAGGAGTAATATAAGCACACAAAAGACATGCACAGAGAGAGATCTGTTCTATTTTCATTTTTTTGTTGCAGAATTGAGATCCAAGCATTGCATTAAGAGCTGTTCCTTTCCTGCTTTTCCACTATATTGCCCCTAGGTGGCACAGTGGCATAGTAGAATATCACAAATACACAATGGAAAATTGTATTCTCTTTTGCTTTAAAAAAATAATACTATATTTTCCATGTTCTTAAAAACAAATTAAATGTGTTTTTAAACAACAGAGGCAAACTAGAGGGTAATCTAAAGAACCTGTAAATAACTATGGGGAATGACAAGTTCACTATAAATGCCTCCCAGTGCTTTTTTTGTAAAAAAGAAAGAAAGAAAGAAAGAAAGAAAGAAAGAAAGAAAGAAAGAAAGAAAGAACGAACGAACCAGAACTCATGTCTTGGGGTCACACTTTTACACTAAAAAAGATTTTCAATTCACCAACTTTTTTTGAATTAAAGAACTTATTTACCTTTTGCACGTAGCCAGTCACTCTACACACACATAAACATAATGGTTGCCGCCGGCAGTAAGCACTCAGCGCACGACCACACGACCGATCCCAAGCCGAGCAGCATCCCAGGCCAAGCAGTGCCCTCACAATCAGCGCGGACACACAAGCAGCCCGCAAGCAATATTTTAATGATTTTTGCCGCAGACCTGCTATGCCCGACAGGACGATTCAAAATCACTTGGAAAAATCCGTTAAAAAACGGTGCCAGAACGCTATTCCAGTGCGTTCTATGACAAAAAAAGCCCTGATGCCTCCTACAGAAAAGTTCAGAGACTGAATGTAAATTCAGAGACTGATGGGGGAAATAGGAAAGGCAAGAGGAACAGTACTATAGAAAGGGAGAAGCAAGAACAACAAACAATTGATGTGGTAAGTGCAGTTACTTGTTAAGTCCTCTTCCCCTAGATACTTTACTTTAGGATGAGCAGATTTCAGGTTTTGGGAACCTACTTTGTTTTCTACTAGAACCTCAAGGTCCACCAACAGATACAAAATAGTAGCTCAAAACAGACCTATACCTAGAAGACACAAGACACCAGTGCCTCTAACTACAGAAATGTGCTTTCTGTATCAGAACTCATCTCACATTCCTTTCATATAAAAATGAGTTCCTGGTTTTCCTAACATCATTTTAGCAGAGTAATTTAGAAGAAATCTTTTTATTCTTCCTATTATTAATCATCTGCAAAAAGCCTTGCAGATCTACTGCAAATCACCAGTAGGTCCTGCTCTATCTTCTGCCCTTATTTGAAAGAGCCATTCAAGAGGGGATAGGACATGGTCTTTTGACCTTCCAGAATCCACATGAGATAGCAATATAAAACTGACCTACTTTGCACAATTACAGTGGCTTATTTTGTCAGGGAAACCTATACATTATGGTTTGTTGAAGGAGAAACAACCCTAAAATCATCTACAGGCTGTTGTTGGGCTATCAGAGGGATGTTTCTCCTTCCTACAAGCTGTGCCACCCAAATTTAGACAATACAAGCCATGCCTAGGTAGGTTACTTGGCAAATTGTGTCTGGGACATGCTGTAAGGTTAAAGAAGTTACCAAACAAGGCAAGTATCTATACGGTAACTACAGTGACTGATTACTTCTTTTCCTTACAAGTGAGGTGATGAAGAAAATGCTTGTTTCTCCGCCCAATTAAAATTTAGTAAGGCCACAAAACGTAGGATGAAGATGGTTTAGGGTCCCGATCTCTACCACGAGTCACCTCTGACATTCCCACCATACATCAATAGTCTTGTCTTGCCTACAGCAAGTTCTTGTATCTGATGCTTCAATTTATTTTTTTAACCTGGATTAGGATACACTGGAGTGCTCTCAAAAAGGACTGTAGTTCCTCCATTGCACAATGGTCCATACACCACATAGCTGTGTCCTGTGATCCAACCAATGTCTGCGACGCAGCCAAAAACATCTCCATCACAGTAGTCAAATACATACTGCAGAGAGCGGGTTATAACAAAAGAGAGGGAGGAAGAAAGAGAAAGAGGAATGAAAACTTCTTCCTCACCCAATGAAAATTTGTAACCGTTCTTGGCTAGAAACAATCTAGTCGAAATACTCTTATTTTTACTAGAAATTTCCTCATTCCAAACTGTTGTACTGCAGATGTGTGGAACCACAACTTTCATCAGGATGGGATAGTTATAGCTTAATGTATCTGAAAGGCACTAGCTTTGAGTTCACAGTTTCTCTCCCCTTTCATACTATTACCAGATGTGCTTAAGCTAATTCAGCAGGTAAGAAACCATCACTACATCAGGGGAAGCAGGAGGTTGCTGGAAGGCCCTTGCCAGTCTCTCATGAGCTACTGTATGATTCCAAATGTAGTCTGCACACCTGTTTAATGAAGGGAATGAACCTACTGTTGCCATGGTTGCATAGGAACCATGCGGCCTACTGTTTTTGTCTCAAGTGGTGCCATGAATAAAGCTTTCATTATATGTTTCCCAGGATGAAACTGAACAAGGATAACCAGAGCTTATGCCATCTTTTGGCATGTGGAGCTGACACCAGATCAATTGTTTAACAACACTCATGAAAAGTGAGACTTGTGGCTATGACCTCTTTAAAGAGCATTTTTCAGTTCTTAGAGTGTTATGCAATACAAGAAATTGATATCCAAAGGCATGTGTGAACAAGCACAAGGAGAAAATGAGAGAAGCAGCAAAACTGGAAAAACCCACTGCTGGGATAAAGTGTATAATATATTTTTCTCAGGTTCATCCCTTGTTATTTCCCTTCCTGCCAGTTTCTACATCGGAATGTTCCCCAAATGTTCTCTAGAAAAAATTCTCTAAATCTCCAGTTTCTTGCTTGTTGCTTCTGCAAATGTTACTGAAAACACTTCAGCTGTTCTATGCCCTGTCCCCCAGTCCATCACTCGAACAATGTTATCATTCTGATTACAGCAGAACATTCCAGGCAACCAAGCTGGGGAAGTGTGGGTGAAAGGCCAGCATGTTTGCAATGGAAACTTGCCATTCTCTGGATTGCTTCAGTACAAAAACACGATTAACAGTCCTGTCTCCAGCATTCCAGGCACATCTTGTGGTTTCCAAAGGCAGTGGAGACTTAAGGACTCAACTGCACTTCGCCAAGAAAGGTTTATGATTCGTGCCCTATCCTCCTCTTCCTCCTCATCATTTGTCTTCAGGGAAATGCAAGCTCCAGAACTGCATGTTTATCACACTAAGTGCTTCACCCTTTGCCCCCGAAGGCCATTTGTGTGGCCAAAATTTTCATTCCCACCCCCTCCCACCTGCTTTCCCACCTTCAAAAAGAGAAACCTTAGAACTTACAGTAGGTAGGAAAACAGCCTGATTTTGATCACAAGAAAGGCCCATGAAGAAAAGGTTAAGCGATCCCTTCCCCAGCACAGCTCCTAAGCCTGCATTTCCCTAAGGAAAAAGAGAACTACCCACCCCCATTTCCCACCAGCAAATGGATCATCAATTTCCCAGCACCACGTAACGTTTGGTCCAAAGTACGCCATGTGTTTGATTTCTATTACCTGGACAGTTCCCAGTGTGCTTGAAAAAGGTTTCCATTTCATTGTGTAGGATTCAGTTCTCTGGCTGGTTCTTCTACAACTCCACCATCAAGGGAAAAGCTGCACATTCTACAGTAAGAGCTGTGATGGGGAAGTGGTCTTTGTGGCTTCATGAATTTCTTCCCTACCTGACTCTAACATAGGCTAGTACAGCCTTCCTCAACCCAGTGCCCTACAGGCGTGTTGAACCAGAACTCACACCACTGGTAGCCAATCTTTTCAGGCTGATTGGAGGTGAGGGAAGTTGTAGTCCAACACACCTGGAGGGTACCAGGCTGGCAAAGGCTGGACTAGAGAGTATGTCAGAATAAAAGCACCCAAGTAGCCTTATTCTGTTTTGTCCCAGGTCAAATTTTTCCATCCAGAAGTGTCAATAATCTTGTCGTCTGTCTGTCTGTCTGTCTGTCTGTCAATTGAGGTGGCTTTCAGTCTAACCTAAACATCTTTACTCAGAACTAAAACCCATTATCATTGGTATCATTTTCCAAGAAAGCACAGTATCAGGCTATGCATGCTTACATGGGGGTAAGTCCCATTGAATGAAATAAGGCTTGCATTTGAAAGCAAAGAAGGTCGAACAGTTGCAATGCTATATGCACTTATCTGACAGGAAACTCCACTGAATATAATGGAACTTATTCCTGAGTAAGCATGCAAAGCACAAGGTTATTCACAATTTTCTGACATGGGGAAAGATTTTTCCAAGGTGTCTACACTTTTTATTGCAGCGATGCCCCATTTTTAATGGAGGCAGGATGCTGTCTGGCTTGGAGTTTGCTCAGGTTTTAGGCTGCTGTCAAGAAAGGGATCAGCCACATTCCCCTTACAGAAGAATAAATGACAGTTCCTTGAGGTGGCCTTGTAGCAGAAAGATGCCTAGGAGGAAATACTACATGTAAAGTTAAAGGAGTTTGAAGTGTTCTCTCTGAAGTTCTTGGAGGCCTCAGCCATGTAACTGGGTGCATTTGCTTTACCTTGTGTGTGACGGCAGCAAACAGCAAATAGCCTGCCTGAGAGTGGACCAGTCCTTTGGGTTTTCCAGTACTTCCTGAAGTGTAGAGGAGGAACAGAACATCTTCACTCTCCAAGGCAACAGGCTCACAGTGCACATCCTCTTTCATCATCTCCTGTCACAGGAAGCAGAGAATCTCTCTCAGCAGGCTCTCCCCGCAGCCCTCAGATCTCCTTTCGCTCCCCTGCACTGAGGGCCAAATCAATACTACTGTAAAGCTTAGCAGGCCAGTGCTCACCATTCCCATTCTAAGAGATCATATATTAAAAAAGAAAGGCTCCAGTTCTCCTGCTGAACAGAAAAAATATTGATGATGTGTGAGCTGTGCCTGCCAGTTTCAAAAACTCTGGAATTTTGGGGGCTGGCATAGATATTGAATCTCTCTCACTGCCACTACTTGCCACGCCTTGGACTGCTACTGCCCCCTACCCAGGCTTCTCTCCTGGGGCTAACAGGGCTGTGGCACCCCACCCCCTTGGTCTAGGGCCTGAGGAGGGGGGCAGTTCTCGTCATTGTCACCTCAGAGCTTTTGCAAATGGATTATATACTGGGTTATACTGACCTGGTTTGCACATAATGTAATTACACGGGCTTTAAAGAATTGGTTTTAAATTTGGCTTTTACATTCTGTATTGTATTTATTACTATTTTTATTACTGCATTTTGTATTGGATTTTACTGTATTTTATAGGCTGTTGTGAACTGCCTAGAGAACTTCTGCCATCGGGTGGTATATAAATCATCATCATCATCATCTCATGGAGGAAGGGCAATTTTCACCAAGACTGTGGTGGGAGAGGAAAGGGTTAAACCTTCCTTTCCAACACACTGTAAGCCTGATAAAAATGGCCCCCTGTGCCTGCTGTTAATCTTTTCTTTAACTAACAAGAAGTGACGCATTTAGTAACATGTCTGGTTGGATCCTAAAATATGTTTTGCCCTGTTTTCTTTACTTATATTTGTGGCAACCCGTACACCTTCCTCCACAGGGCAAATGACAGGGGGGTTTTTTGTGATGATTGATTTGAATCAGGAAATTGGTTTGGGAAGAATAGGTTAATACTCCCCAGGTCTTCATCCTTACTAAAAGGGTAGCACTGCTATTAACAGCTCTTAAAACTCACTGTGGCACCTAATCACAGATATTCTACATCCCCTTTCATACCAGCATACCAGATATAGCACAATGTGAAGAGATCTGCTCAAGTATTTGGCAGTGGTACATTCACAAAACTTCACCCGATGCTATAAACAAGCACTGTGGTGCTCACCCCTCCTTTCAGTGCAAAGATACTGGCTTGCATTAAGCCAAGGTCACATATTATACATCAATTTACAGGTGATGGGACATTATTCTCACCTCTTCCAGTGGTAAATCCAGGCTTGACATGGGCACTTTCTCATCTGTCCTCATTGAAACAAATACTCGCTTCACCATGGGACACAATTTTACAGCCTCGTCCACTGTCTGCTTTAGTTTGACAACCTTGCCTCCACGCAAACCTTGGTTTACTGTGATCACTGTTTCAGACTGAGCTGGGGAAGGAAGGAAGGAAGGAAGGAAGGAAGGAAGGAAGGAAGGAAGGAAAAAAATAAGGCAACCAGCTGTATCCTTTCCCCTTGGCCCTTTGTTTCATATCCTGGGAATAAATTTCATGTGCTAGTCAATCCTTTCCTAGTCCAGGATTCCTTCACAACCCTGCTTTTTGTTATAAAGGACAGGCTTGACTACCATTTCATGAATAGCTTCTCTGCCATTGGAGCCTAAAGGTGCTCTCTTTCCAAACAGGGCCTACCATAATTAATTGAGGTGGGGTGGGGAGCGCATAACCCACATGTAAACAAGAGTGAACAATCAATAGATGAAATAGTGGGCTGTCCTAACTGTCTTTTCCACATTGCAGAAGGAAACAGTTTTTGATCGATGCTTGTGTGCTGAAATTTCTTTCACCTTTGGTCATTTGCCAGACGTGGGCAAAAAAAATTCACAGGGCTCTAACTCTTCACTGAAAATTATTTGCAGCTATGTTAATGATTCATGTAATACCGTAAATGGGAGTAGTTCAGACCCTTTTCCAAAAATAGACGTGGAAGTATATTGTGTGTATACAGACTAACCAGGCAAGTCATTTATATTAGGACATATAGAATCTCACAGTGCTGGCTCCCACTGGCCTGAGATCAATGCCCCTGATTATGATGGTGCTTTGTCTGACCCTCCCTTCTGTCCACCTTTTCTGGGACAAATTGTGAAAAATGTGCCCTTGAGTTATCTTCCCCAGTCCAGAAGCCTCCAGATATATTGGACTCCAACACATCTGGAGGATGTTAAGTTGGGGAAGCCTGACTTAAGGTCTTCAACATCTACAGATCTGCCTACATTAGAAGTAATTTAGTCTAAAATGATGTTCCCACAGGTTTTACACAAACACACACACACACACACACACACACACACACACTTTTCTCTCTATCAACACTAGGGGAGAGGGACCCCCAATGCATCCTTTTGCTAGGATGACCTTTATGGTAGAAAGGGTTGTGCATAATCATGATTTTGGTATACTCCACAAGTCAATGAGACTGAATACAAGAGACTGCTAAAAAGAAGGTGACACAAAGGACATCTAGAGCCTGCAACTGAAGTGGCTCTTACCGTCTCGGATTCTGTCAGCCAGCGCAACAGAACTGAATCCAGCAAATACCACCGCGTGTATTGCTCCAATCCGGGCACAGGCCAGCATACTTGCCACAGCCATTGGACACGGGGGCATGTAAATGGTGACTCGCTCACCCTTCCTCACCCCATGCCGTTTTAAGGTGTTCCCAATCCGGCATGTCATCTCCAACAATTCCCTGTCCAAAGAAAACACCTGGAAGTGTTGACATATTCTGCTTTATTATTCCACTAACCTACTCTGAATCATGCTAAGCATAAACAACAATTATGGAATACAACCTCCAACATGCATTCCCTTACTTTCATTAAAAGTAATTTCAGGTCACTTGAGGCCTGAAACATACATACATACATAAATGTATGTTAAATTATTTGTCTACTAAGACAGACATTTCTGGCTAGATGATACACTGATCTGATTCACTATAAAGACCACTGTGTTTACTGCTATTTTATCTCAGGCACTTTTTCCTGACTAAAAGACAAACTACAGCTTTGTGACTGAAGGCTGATTTTTTAAAAATCTTTATAACGCATAAGGATTACAGATGAATTACACTGTGATACTTTCAGCAGATACAGAATATTAGAAAATGATTACATTATTTTGTTGTTATTAAATTATATTAAAATTAGAAAACTGAGATTCTTTCATCTTTTCCTGACCATGCAAAACGTTAGTAATAGCCTCTATGTGGAGACATATGAACTTTTGTAAATCTGTTCCATTTGTGTTTAGCAGATTTTCAAGCACCTTCCACCCCATCCTTCACTCACAGACAGAACGGGATTTTGCACAAATGCGTTGGTACATACTGGCCCAAGTTTGCATTTCCAAAATTGCACATCCCCCTCCAAACCATGGATCTCTGCCCAAAATGTGCATTTTCATGCTTCAGTGTATGAAGGAGAATGTGCATCTTTAGTCTGTTTAAAAAATTGTACAATTAAATACAATTACAGAAAGTAAGAAATCAGGTCCACAAGTCCACAGAACTCATGACTTGGAAAAGCTGGTCTGTTGCATAAACTGCTCATTTATAGACATTCCTAGACATCTGAACACATTTGAATCTGATGTGGATTTCTCTAAGTCCATACCTATATGTAATTCGATCCTCTTGGCCCGGCTCATCTTTCTCCCAGATGAGGGCCACTTTATTTGGGCCTTTGTGGACATGTCGATCCAAACAGTTGACTGAAAGAGAAGAAGACTCTTGTGATTGCATGCTCAACCATCTGTGCAACTTTCTCAGTCTCTTTAAACATCATAAACCTACCACTGAAGGGCTCAAGTCATAGTAAAGCGGGAGAATGTGCTAAGAATGCAGTGGAATATACCTCTTCTCTGTTATGCATTGAGTATATTCCTTTTGGTATTTGTCTTGAATAAAGTGAATTCATGCTGACCATATTCAAAATCTCTGATGACCATAAATAGAACCAAGGTAAGTGTATGTATTCTATTGCACATTGTGGAAGATTCTACAAATATTCTACTCTGATACTAAGGTATATGTCGACAAAGGTTTTTGGAAAAGTAATGAACAAATGCATACATACAGCTGCTCAGGCTAAAGTTCATATATTTATTTAAAATGCAAATAAATACTTGCTTCTACCAAGCAAATGCATATTTTACAGATAGGACTAGAAAAAGATAGATGTATAGAATTAATAATATTGATGTGCCATCCTTCATTATCAAATTAATTACAACATCAATTAGAATAAAATAAAAAACACACAATTAAAACAGAAAATCTACTCATCTAGGTATTAAAATCAGCAAATGTTTGGTTAAACAGATACATTTTTAACAGGTGCCAAAACACTAGCATGGTTGGAATCTTGCAATGGAAGAGGATTCCCAAAAAATAAAACTAGGGTTCTCTTGATTTCAAGACGTTAAGTCTTCTTTCCAGGACAGAGGCAATCCATTGTGCTTCAGGCATTTGATAAAATGAGCTCTTTTTTGTTAAGGTTTATGCTACAATGCATCTTTGGGCTGCAACTTTATACTCACTTTATACTCACTTTGAAGTTGACTCGGTTGTTCTTTAAGTTAGCATGAAAGTTTTTTCCTACTGTGACCGCCTAACACGGCATCAGCCTATCTCTTCTGGTCCATGAAAACAGGCAGGAATATAAATCACAAACAGCTAGAAACATCAAATGTTTATTGTACCAGTTGTTCCTCATGAAGCCCAGAAATAAAATTATATACAGTCCCACATACCTACCAACCCACTACTTCCTGAAATTACTTATGTTTATTATACAACGTTCAATTCTTAATCCTGGAACCCAATAGTTTTAAAACTATTGTCTTTAACTTTTCAGTTTCAAATAATTTTCTTCACAAATCTACAAAAACAGCAGCCATCAGCTAGTTTCAAAATACAGATGCAAAATTCAGTTAATTATAAAAGTTGAAATCAGATCGTGCAAGTTACATTACTCAGGGCTATCTGCACATATAATGTTGATTGTACCACGTATTAACAATTTGCACGCTCACAGCTCCACAACTCAGTCATTCACACAGCTTAAAATTAGTCACTGCACAGCCCTAGTGGATCAACTGCACAGACTGTGTTAAGCTTAGCCCAGGAGGTAGTAGGTTGATTGCATGACCCATAGTAACTTATCTGTTCATTTCGCTCATGGCAGTCACTTGCAGAAACTAAATCTAAGTGTTGGAAATCTATTACATTTCATCAGTGGGAGTTCTGTTTACTAAATACTCAGCTCATGAGTATTATCAGTTATTGTCTAGCTGTTACTAAGGTAATAAACAAACATCCAGATTAGGATGTGCTAATATTGTGCTAACATTGTCTGAAGCCCTCCTTTGAGAAACCCTGCAATCAGAACTTACCATTACATTTATATCCTGATTTTTTCCTTCTTCCAAGGAACCGAATCATAGTTCTGTCCCAGTTCCACTTAGGACAAAGCTGCTCACTTCCCTGCTTGGGGCAGTGATAAATTTTGAAGTGTGGGCACTGAAGATGACAGTCCCCAGAACCATGAGCCCAAGTAAAGTCCAAAAGTCCCCCAGCAACTCTAGGAGTTTTCACCTTCAACAGGAGCGGGTGTTCTGTAAAGTGCATAGGTCTTAATTGCCCATTCAAGACCAGACCATCCCAAAATATTTTGCATTAAAACAGGGGACAATCAATTATAGGGAAACCCCATTCTCCTCCCGTCCCCACCCGCAGCTACTGTGAGAATTGCAGCTAAACGAAGCTCAGAAGGAATGGGAATTCTACAGGTTGGATGTGTTGGGAAAATTTGGATAAATCCTCTCTGAAAAGCATTACTTCTGTGTGCCTTTGCACTGTGGGATCAAATCCTGTCTTCCTTCTCAAAACCAAGCTGTCACTGTTTAAAATGGCATTCCCCCGCTCCTTTCTCTCACCTTTAGCTGTGGGCTACAGTAGACAGGCCATTCAATTCAAATATCCATTGTAAATAGTCATTGTTGGAATTCAGTTTACAAGGAAGTATCTTTTGACAGCCCAGAGGCTCCATGTGCCCTGGCTGATTCAGAATGTCTAGAGTAGATAAGAGTCTTGAGTTTATGCATAGTTTCAGTAGCTTGAATTTACATGTCTAAGCAGACCTGGAGATGGGTTTAAGCTACTGAACTAAAGTGTCAATACAGGCAATTAGAAATATTGTAATCTCATTGTTACAATGTGATTGACTGACATTTCTTTATCTGTTCTGTATGTGATGACCTCAAAATCTTATTGTAATCTCTGCATTCTGTCATCAATTGCCCTGTACCTGTATGTGACTGGGAGTGTATAAAAACTCTCTAGTTGTGTTGAAGTTTTGCAGCAGAGTTCACTCTGCCTGCCCTGTAATGCATTATCGTGAGTACGCACCCGCGGGGAACCTGGGAAATACAATAAAGCCTCAGATGGTCTGGACGCTTTATCTTTCCCACAAACCCGAGTTTTATTCCCTCTTCTCAAATTGAGATTCCGGGATTCTGACAGATGGTAGATGGTGTTGGCATCACTACTAATCAACAGTGAGATTAAGCAGAAGTGGCCTGCCCATCCTGGTTCACAGTCTAATAGACAGTCCAAGAAAAAAAGGAGAGAAAAAGAATCTGTGTGTCATTTTTTTGCATGTGTCCCTTATTGAGGGGAGCAGACATGCTTTCCCCCCTTTCCCATGCATCCTCAGAATAACAGAAGTTTATACCGTAATCCTAAATATACCTAAATGTAGTAAGATCCATTGAACTTCCTTCCAAGTAAACATGCGGAGAAGTGCACTGTTAGTGTTTCTGTCACGTTCAGTTTGTCATGAGTCATGTTATCAAAATGAGATGCTCATGCACTGAGGTCAGTGAGGCTCATTGCCATGTAACTGTGGTTAAGGATATCAGCGTAAGCTTTCTGAACACAGTGGGGATAATCAGCTACTTTCCCACTCAGCATATGAAAGTATAACGTTATCCATGCTTCTGGGTGATTAAGTCATTGGACAGAAACAGAACATTTACTTGAATAATTGGTTGGTTAAACTGTAAGAAAGGATAGAAGGATGATAGGCAGATGGGTGGAGTTCCACTTGGTATATTGCCATTTGACGAATTTTCTTTCAAATATTCCTTTGTACTTTAATGATGCCGTATGCACTTTTGATAGTTGAACTAATTTTAGAAAGCATATTTAGCATTAGATCAGTGGGCACTGTCTACGAAAATCTATTGGCAGAAAATAATTTTCAAATGTGAAATAAAACAAAATAATGAATTTTACCTGTTTATGGGGTTCATACAATTAAGCAACCCATCATGAATAACTAACCATAATAGCTTCCTATTTTGCCCAAATAGCTTTCTGTGGGTAGCTTGTCATGTACCAACAAGCCACCCTGAATACCCATGGCTAATTCTAGGAGTTACCAACAATGGGTTGTTGTGTCATCTGTACCCAGGAAACCAATTTTATCATGAGTTATTGGAAAGTACCATTGAGTCTTTGCTCAAGAGTGGTGAAGACCACTGCTGTTCCTCTCCTGGTGATCAGACTTGGTTCGCAAAGTCTACCTGGCAACATATTGGGAGTGTTCACACAACACAACAAGCCACAGTGTTGTTGTTGTTGTTGTTTTATTGTTGGTCCATCATGTTGTATGAATGCTGTTGTGGTATTTCAGCATGGTGCTTTGGTCCTTAGAAACCATGAACAGAAACAACAGTCTGTTCTATGGTTTCTCTATACCATAATGGCTTGTTGTGTCATCTGAACCCAGCAAACACAGTCCATCATGGTTCAAAGGCTAGAACCAAACTGCCACTGGGCAAGAGCAGCCCACTGTTTTTAGTAGCAGTTTTGTTTTTATTATTTTACTGTTGCTCCTGCTTATTATGCTCATAATGTTCTCCCATCTTGTATATTATATCTTTTGAATTGTATGTCTGTACATTGGATGTTAATTGCTTTAATTCCTGTTTAATGGCTTTGTTTTTATGTTGATTGCTTATGCTTTCACTGTAAGTCACCCAGAGTGCCTCTAGCATAGCTTATAAATATAATAAATAAAGAAGTAATAAATATAAAAGCCCCATTCCTCCCCATGGTATCTCCCAGGATACCATCAGGATGACTGGGAGGAAAAGACATGGCAGGAGGGAGAAGAGCCACCCTCATGAGCCTGACCAAGAAACTGCAAACCGCGGTAGCCACGCAGGGCTACTTGTGATGTATGAACCAGCCATTGTGGTGAGGTGGCTTGCACACTTCCTCCTTGCTTGGCACTCACCTCACCCACGAGTGAAGAACTTTTTCTTACTTATGAATGACAGGGATGTGTAATCTGCACAGTGACCTTGAAGGAGCTTGTTATTCTGCTAGCTTCAACTGTGCACCCTGCCCCACTGCTGAAATGTTTGCCCAAGGGATTCTCCTGAAGCAAAGCCTATATTTTATTGGAAAAAAGAAACTTGCACAGTAATTTGGCAGTTCATATTGTACAATCCATATACATAGTGTCTTGCATAAATTGTGCCACGTCTATGCAACAGATAGGTGCCAATATTACTATCACCCCTTTTTGGTGAATATCATGCACAGTCACTGGCATCATAATCTATCCTATTCTATAATGGCCCTTCTAATGTGAGCCTTTCTCAGAGAGAGGGCATATCTCCTGCTCATGATAGACTGTTCA